CTTCTCTCTGTGGTGAATCTCAGGACCCAATTGCTGCTTTGCTGTTGCATCTTTTGGCTCGGTCAGGGACTGCACAGTGGTATTTCTGGTTCTACCATGGGTGCCGCTGTCCTCTCCGCCGCTGGAGTCCCACCATGCCTGGTGATGGCTTCCTGGCAGGCCTGTGAGCTGCTGTGGCGAGTCCCCTGGCAGCAGATGGCTTTGCTCCTGTGCCCTGCCCGGCCCTCCTTGGGAGTTGCTGACCCCATGAGCACACGCCCCACGCTGTTGTGCTGAGAGTCTGTGGCTGTCCACCCCACAGGGCTGGCCACCTGCTGCTGGGGACGGCCAAATCAGGAAGTGCAGCCCTGCTCCTGCAGGTGGTGGACATCTGGGGTCTCTGTACTGCTCCCCCAGGCTGTCTTGTCTCCCTGCAGCACGGGGGAATGAGGGGCAGTACCTCCTGTACCCCCACCCCACTTTTCTTTCGGGAACTTGGCGTTGGGTGTCTACTTTGCTGGAGGGGCCCTTCTTGGGCTCGTGCATTGATGTCTCAGGCTTCCTGGCCTCTCATCCCCACACTGGCCGGCTCTCTTCTCACTGCTGTCTCCCTCTCCTGCTCCCTTCCAGGGTCCCAGAGCTGCTGCCACCATGGCAGATCAGAGGGCCTGTGCTGATAGAAATACAGGCCTCGGGCTGTGCTTGGGGCCTGGGCCTCTTGCAGCCATGGTGCTGTGGGAAGCCTTGAGGCTTATGGGACCCTGCAGGGCCGTATCTGCTCCTCAGTAGGGATGGGACCAGAGTTCCGTGCAGTCTTTTCCAGGCTGTCTTCTTGGCTGTCTTCTTGAGTTCATAGTTCTAGAATCGCTGATCACGAACCTTTGATACAAGACCCTGGAGAGAGAATACAGAGGATAAGGTGCTTCCCTTGACACAGCCAACCTGTGTTTCATCCCTGACATCACATAGGGTCCCCTGAGCCCTGCAGGAGTAATCTCCGAACACCCCCAGGTGTGGCCCAAAAGGACAACACACACACACACACACACACACACACACACACACACACACACACTCCTTTGATTTCAGACTCAGTTTGCTGGAACTGTAAATTTTGTCTTTTTCTGATTTATTAACTGTCAGTTTTCAGATAAAGAGAAGATCTAGCTTTAGAACAGTCCCCACAACCTATTTTGTCTCTGCATTCAAGTGATGTTCGTGTCTTGCTCTCATGACATACAGCTCACTTGTTTCTGATTTGTGCTCCGCTGGCATCTCCAGGGTGACAGTCTTTATGGACGCAGGTGCCACTCCTGCTTCAGCACCTGTGGGGATGTCCTTGGCATGGGGGCTGGTGCCCAGAGGCCGACTCAGTCTCTGCCTGCTGGGGCCTTCGCCACACACTCATCGGCGTTTGGTGTTTCTCCTGAGTCAGATGTCAGGACTCCGCACAGGCTTGGTGCTGGAAGGATGCCTTTGGTGTTACTTTTTTCATCGAGTGATGAGACAATCAAAGCTTTGCACATTTTCGTGGTTCCTGTGGTTTTGGCTTATTTTCTGTGTTCTTGTTCTCTGAGATGTTGGTGGGAATGGGGTGTCAGCTATTGATGGTATTGAGTGAATTTTACAGACTGTGGATGGGAGTCTGGCCAGCTGCAGCGGTTTCTGGAGCTGATTTAAGTTGTTTTGGTTCTGTTGTGATGAGACTGTGTTAAATGCGTAGAGCCGTGTGGACGAGCTGTTGTGAGGACAGTGCTGAGGCTGCTGTGGGTCTGTCCCGCTCTCCGGCACAGTGTGCTCATCTGGGGTGTGTGTATGTGTGTGAGTGGGTGTGTGTGAGTGTAAGTGTGAGAGGATGCCAGTGGGAGTGTGTGTTAGTGGGTGTGGGTGTGTGGGAGGGCGGATGCTTGGGACTCTTAACCCCGGTCTCATGCATTCATGCTGCTGAGCTGCATCCCTTGTCTGTCTTTTATTTCTGTTGAACTTTACAGTTCATGGCAGAGTGTGGAGAAACACATGGACTTGTTAGCCTGTACTGCAGTCTTATTACCCACGTATTTGTTGTTTCTGCTGTTTCATTTGAGCAAGCAGGGCGTCCTGTAAATCTGTGATCGTGTAATCTACAAGTAGAATCTCCTTTCCGCTCTATGATTTTTCATGCTTTTCTCTTTTTGTCATGCCTTTGTGCATCCATGGAGGCCCTTAATTCTTGAATGTGTAGGGCAAAGTCTGTGAAATAAGATTTGCCCGAGTTTCGTCTCTGTTGGTATGCTCTCTCTCATTCTGAGGCCTTACTTTGAATTTCTGCTTTTCTTGGAGGATTTTCTTTTCATTTTTGGGCCACACCCCACTGTGCTTGGTCTTACTCCTGGCTCTGTGCTCAGGGTCACGCTTGGCAGTTCTCTGGGGACCCTGTATGCTGCCAGGAAGCAGATTTGAGTCGGCTGTGCACAAGGCAGGTGCATCAACCTCTGTACTGTTTCTCCCGCCCTAGGTTTTTCATTTTATGCTGAAAGCACGTATATCTTTCGTTAGACTTTTTTTCTTTTTTTGATGGGGTGGTATACTCGATGGTGTTCAGGACTTAACTCCTGGCTCTGCACTCAGGAATCCCTCTTGGAAGTGCCTGGGCAACCATATGGAATGCTGGGAATCAAGTTCAGGTCAGACACGTGCAAGGCAAGCGCCGTAATGCAGTCCTCTCTCTGGTTCCTGCTAAGCTCTTTTTCTATGGATTTTACCATAAGTTTTTGTTTTGAAATGTGAGGAATTACCTTTTGGCTGTGAAGCTGGCCCTTGGTTCCTGAGATAATTCCCACCTGATTGGGATGTGTTTCTGCCTTCCTCTGTTCCTTAAGTATTTTCTTAAGGAGATCTGTGTCTGTATTCATGTGGGAATGCCAGTCTGCATTTTCTTTTCTTGTGGGCTTTTTTGGTCAGGATTTCACATTTGTCAGCTACTGCTGTTAAAAACAAACAAAAAAACCCCCAAGACTTTCTTTGTGTTTCTATTAAAATGACAAATTTAGATAAGATTTTAAAAAACACCAGTTTGGGGGTTAGAGCGATAGGTCAGTTTGGGAGGGTGTTTGCCTTGCTTGTGACTGACCTGGATTTGATCCCCAGCATCCCATATGGTTCCCCGAGCACCACCAGGAGTAATTTCTGAGTGCAGAGCAAGGAGCAGCCCCCGAGCATCATCGGGTGTGACCCAACCCCCACCCCCCCAAAAATAAAATCCAACCAGAACAACACACCAGTTTGTAGTGAGAATGATGGTGGGTCAGTGCTCAGGAGCATTGAGGGACATGCTCAGGCCTTTGGTCCAGGACTAGCGGGGGACACAGCTGGGAAAAGTCATCAGCTGGTTCGCCTGAGATCTGTTCACTCTACACAAAACGTTGTACTCTACGCTCAACGCTCAACGTGCACAGTTGAAACAGATCCAGCTTCCTGTTGCATTTCTAGAAACAAGGCATTGTTCTGTTTTTGGAAAAGGAGCCTTAAGTACACATCAGACATCCAAAGCCAGTGACTAGCCCAGAGAGAAAACCTGAAGTGTGTGTGGTTTAAGGTGTTGTTTCTTCACCACCTGACAGCAGAGACAGTAGTGGGAGAAGAGCTTGTGTGACAGAGTCATCAGGCTTCAAAGTTGGGGCTGCTGGAAAATGGGAGGAAGACTTGGCGGTGGTGTGCGGCTGTGGATGGAGAGACCCGGGGCAGGGTGGGTCCCTGGGTGCTGCAGATGGAGAGGCCTGGGGTGGGGCAGTGGGGGGATGGGAGGTGCTCAGGGCCTGACCTGCTCATCCTAGATGCCTCTGGGAGGCAGTTTGAAAAGTAGCTTTGTTGGCATTCTTGCTGCTGAGAGTAATGTCTGTGTGTGGTACTTAAGAGCTTAGGGTTTTCATGCAAGAAATTAATTTGCTGACACTTTGCTCTCAAACTCTAGGGGATTCTTGCATGCTAAAAGTTGTACTTGTATGTTTAGATTCTTTCCACAAAAGCTTTTGTCTGAAATGATCTTTGTGTTTGGAGATTTTGGGGGTGGGTGTGTGCAGGCAGGCTATGCTCAGGGCTGACTCCTGACCCTACTCTGTGCCCACACAGGGACAGGGAATCAGGCCATCTTGCGTTCTCCCCGGTGCCCAGTCCCTGTTCGTAGAGAGCCTAGTCTGGCAGGAAAGTGGACCAGCCACTGGAACGACTGTTTCTGACACTGCCCCAAGTCCCCAGGCACAGGCTTTTGAGAGACAGACTCTGTTTCCAGGCCCAGGACCACCACAGGCAGAAACCAGGTGAGCCGGAAGCCTAGGGTAGGTCAGGGGGAAAACTGTGTGTGTGGAAGAAAGAGCAGCAGAGTTCTTCCAGGGCATTTGGACACCAGAAGCTTACGAGCAGAACTGCACTCGTGGGTGCAGTGGTAGAGTATATGCAGACACCCATGCATGCACACACACAGGCACGGGCTGGCAGAGACACAAGGATGGGTGGCAGGCAGGAAGGTGGTCTGGACAGGAGGAGCGGTAGAGGACTTCTCACTGCACCTCTGGCTGTGTCTTGTGTCCCCCGTCCCACCCCTTTCATTCAGGTTGTTCTGCAGTGTTCAGCAGTGCCTGTAGGGTTTGTGTTTGCTGTGTTTTGGAGGTCGGGGTAGGTGGGTTTGGGGGCCACACCTGCAGTGCTCAGGCAGTGCTGGGGGATCATCTGTGTTGCTGGGTATTTGAGTGGAGCTGTGTTGTCTCCGGTGGTTCTGCTCTGGGCTTGCACTGGGCGTGTGGGCTGGGCTAGGGCTGCTCAGGGATGGAGGAACCCTGATCTCAGGTCAGCGCAGCATGTGAAGAGGGCGCTTGCTCAGTGTGCACGGAGAACCTGCAGCCACTCTTGGCCGCCCTTGGGAATGTCTCCCTGACCCCAGCTCTGGGTTCTTGAATGAAGAGGCAGGTGTGCCTGGGGGTCCGGCCTCGCGCAGTCTGCCTGAAGGGTGGAGCCATGCACTGACCCCTTCTTCCTTTGTCCTGCAGAGTATGACAGATACCCAGCACCTCGCAGAACGATGGCAGCCGCTTACCTCGACCCGAACCTGAACCACACACCCAGCTCCGGCACCAAGGCCCCGCTGAGCACAGGCGCGGAACGCTCCCCTGGGGCCATGGAGCGGCTCTTGAAGGTCTTCCATTATTTCGAGAGCAATAGTGAGCCGACCACGTGGGCCAGTATTATCAGGCATGGAGACGCCACAGATGTCAGGGTGAGTGCTACCCCCAGGTGGGATGCTCCCTGGGCCTCCGCAGGCTTGTGCAGAGGCGGCCACACTAGGACATGTCGCTCCCTGGTAACGCCGGCTTCACGCATCGTTTCCTGGGGAAGGAGCAGCTGGATCCTGCTAGTCACGTGATGTGCTTGTGCCATTCCTGACTTGTCCCCCTTTTTCTTCTCTGCTCCTTGAGTGACGCGAGAAGAGCAAACAAATCAGCCTCTGATGCTTACACAGTGAGATTCTGTTCTCGGAAGTGTCCTTTTGAAGTATGTGAGTCCCTTCCGTAAGACCATTCCTTTGGAAACGTTGAATACCTGCCGATACTCTTCAGGCGCCAGGGAGAGAAAGTTCCTGCTCGCACAGTCTCTGGTCTTTGTGGTTCTTCTGAGCTCCCTGCTGGTCCTGTGGGTGTCGCGGGAGACACCCAAATGGGCTTTCTGTGCCCCCTACATGCACTGAACTGGGCAGGGCTGCTCTGGTTGCCCAGTGAATGCCCGTGTGTGGTTAGCAGTTGGCACAGAGTGCCTCGAGGCCAAGTTACTGAGAAAGGGCAGAGAGGAAGTGGTACTGAGACATGAAGGGTCTGGCTGTCTGTCGAGACGCACTTCTCTGTCCATGTTCAAGGTGGAGGAACGTGGGGCAGTGGCCGCACTCCCATGGAACTGCCTCTCCGCTCGGCCTCATCCATCTGCTGCTCTTCGTCCCTGGGCCCTGACGATTTTGGAAATAGCAGAATGGGGCCTGAGTGAGAGGACAGCAGGGATAGCACTGGCCTTGCGCGTGGCCGATGTGAGTTGGACCCCCGGCACCCTGTTTAGTTCCCCGAGTTCACCAGGAGTGACCCCTAAGCACCACTGGATCTGGCCCCAAAAGAAATAAGAAAAAGGAAAGAGTGTCATAACCAGGAGTAAGAGTGTAGCCGGATTTTCATCTACTGTGACTGTGACACGAACTATTCTCTTTTTTTTTTTTTTTTGCTTTTTGGGTCACACACAGTGATGCACGGGGGTTACTCCTGGCTCTGCACTCAGGAATTACTCCTGGCAGTGCTTGCTCGGGGGACCATATGGGATGCTGGGAATCGGAATCAAACCCAGGTTGGCCACGTGCAAGTCAAACGTCCTACCTGCTGTGCTATCACTCCAGCCCCTGATTATTTCATCTTTGTGTGTGGGGTGTCAGGCCACACGCAGTGGCACTCAGGACCTCTCCCGCTTCTCTCCCCGGGAGGGTGTACTGTCATTTCTGGAGATGCTGTAGGGGGTTGTGCATGGTGCTGGGAGGGAACCAGGGCCTGCTACATGCTCTGATTACAGCGTTCTCTGGATATGGGGCATGACAGTGCAGGCGTGAGCGTGGTGGGTGGGGGGGCATCCTGGATTCCATGTTGGGCCCCTCTTTGGGGTCAGCGGCAGGGGTAGGTGCAGGAACACCGGCCAGCTCTCTCCAGCTCCAGCCAGTCACCTTCCTGGCTAGTGCACGTCACGGGCCTGTGGAGCTCGCCCTGCACTGACAGAATGTGGGAGGGAATGCCGTGGGGGCCTCTGGGGAACACAGTGACCTGAGGAGAAGGGGGCTCGGAGACCAGGCCTATGTGGGAGCTATTGAGAGGGATGAGCATAGGGAGGGGAATGGTGTAAGTGAGGGGTGAGCACTGTGAGGGGTGAGCACTGTAGGAGGTGGCACTGTGAGGGTTGAATGCTCCGAGGGTTGAGTGCCATGAGTGGTGAGCACTGTGGGAGGTGGCGCTGTAAGGAGTGAGCACTGTGAGAGTTGAGTGCTGTGAGGGGCGAGCACCATGGGAGGTGAGTCTGTGTCGTCAGGGTGTCACACACTGCCCTGGGCTGGCTGACCCGCAGGCAGTGGCTGGGGACAAAGGCTCTCTGTGGGTGTTTGAAAGCGGCGCCAGAGTCTGGGCTCACCACTCAGGGGTTTGTGTATTGGCCAAGGGAACTTGCTGGATTGTCTTTGAAAGAATTACGGGAAGCGGTGGCCCTCCCACTGGGCCATGTTCAGTGAACAACCTTCCTTGGCCTGTCTGGGCTCCTGCAGGCCTGGCTGGCCGCCATAGCCGTTTATGGGGTGCTGGCGGACACTATGGGTCTCACTGCACCATGGGCCCAGTGCCCACCTTATTCCCACAGCCCTGGAAGGTGGGCTTGCCTTCTAGGGGGAATGGGTGTGCCTTGGCGGGGAGTGGATGTGCCTTCTAGGGGAGAGTGGGCGTGCCTTCTGGGAGGTAGAGTGGGCGTGCCTTCTGGGGGGAGTGGGCTTGCCTTCTGGGGCGCTCTGTGCAGCCCTGTTGCTCCTGCTGCTTGTGGCCACATTGCTTCCTCCCTTCGCTGCTGCTCTGCTGGAAACCAGTGTCCTGCTGCACCTGCTGGGCCTGTGGACTTGTTTGGCATTTTGCCACTGTTGGGCCTGTTCTGTTTGTGTCCGGGGGCTGCCAGGGTGTGGGAGCACTTAGTGCCAGGTTGGGTATGGGGCTCTGGACTCTGGACCGAACCATTTCCCAGGGGCTGAACTGGCATGTCCTCAAGTCATAGAGACACAACTTTGTGCCATGAAATACTTGGTTCGGCTGGGACTTTGAAGTCAGGCCTTCAGGGTCTGGGGTTTGTTTTGTTTTGGGGCCATACCCGACGATGCTTAGACTCCTGGTCTACACTCGGGGATCACTCCTGGCAGGCTTGGGGAGCAGATGGGATGCCGGGAATCAAACTGGGATAGACCACGTGCAAAGCAGATGCCCTTCCTGCTGTGCTTTGCCCCAGCCCCCATGATCTGAGAATTGCTGGTCTTAGAACTCAGGGGTGATTTTTCTCTATTACGGGAATGTTATTGCTGGTTTCATGCAGAGAATCTTACCAAGGGCCTGAGATGTGTGAAGGACGAGGTGCTCCCCTCGAGGGAGGCATGGCTGGGTCTGTCCTGCCCCCAGATTCTCACAGATTGCCCATAGATCACACAGATCATAGATACCACAGACCAACCAGAGATCCCCATAGATCACATATAGATCCTCACAGCCATCCACAGATCCCTGCAGTCACCCATAGATCCCCATAGATTACCTATAAATCACTTGCTCTTACAAACCCTCTGGCTCAGGGCTCCCAGTTTCAGCCCTTCTGCAGCCCGAGCGCCAATTTCCCATGCTCTGGGAACTTCCCTTTTCTGAATGCACAGGCCCAGGTGGTTGAAGCATGAGACTGGGGGGCTCCAGTCAGCCACTGCCCGAGACTCATTATTCCCAGCTCCAGAGGCTGTCTCTGCCATCAGCAGTATTGGGAAGAAGGCTTTGAATGTGTCTCCCAAAATGACACACAGGCCGCAGCACACTTGCCGTGGCTCTGAGCTTGCCTCCCCTCCTCTCTGTTCAGCCAACAAGCTTGGGAGGTGGTGTCCAGTGAGTTTGCGGGAATATATTTCAAGTTTCCCTGCCTTGTTTATTCATTTGTGTTCTTTCCAAATTTTTCTCCTTGTTCAGAAAAATGCTATTCAATAAAAGAGGAGAGTCCTAGGTAAAACCTAAGTTATTTATTCTCAGTTCTCTGTCGGGGTTTTGAGAATTTACTACAGGAGCTGAATCGCCTGCTTTTCTGACAGTCACTTTGTGGGGCTGTGTTTCAGGGCATCATCCAGAAGATAGTGGATAGTCACAAGGTCAAGCACGTGGCCTGCTACGGATTCCGCCTGAGTCACCTGCACTCGGAGGAGGTTCACTGGCTGCATCTGGATATGGGCGTCTCCAGCGTGCGGGAGAAGTACGAGCTGGCACACCCGCCTGAGGAGTGGAAGTAAGAAGGCGCATATGCACACATGACACGCACATGACATGCACATGACACGCACATGACACCGTGCCTGCTGTGGCTTCCCCCCTGCTCATCTTGGCACTAAGTGAGGAGGACTGGGCACCGTTCTCCAGAGCGGTTTCTTGCTTCCGGGACACCTTGGCGAGACCGTGGTAACCTTTGTTGACCACACTTTCCATGTCCACCGCCGCCCCAGGAGAATTCCAGCCCGTGTCCTTGCCGCTGTTTATGCCGGTGGCATCTCCTGGGGCAGAGGGACTGGCTGGATTTCTAGGAGCCCACCTCCCAGGGTCTTGGCCTCTTAGGGGCACAGGGCTGGCCGGCGCACTTACAGCTGCAGTCCCAGGAGAGGAGGCGACCATCATGGCCCTCCACATGTGTGAAGAGGAGGTAGAAGCAGACACCTTAAGTGCCTTCTTGCCTGAGACACCCCCCCCTCCCCCAACCCGGACAAACAGCTCTGGTTTGTGTCGAGTTTGCTGTACAAGTAAGGACAGGAGGTCTTGGAGAGTGCCAGGGGCTGGAGGGTAGTACAGCATTGTGTATGCCTTGCATGTGGCCAGCTCAGGTTTGACCCTTGTACGGTCCCCTGTCCTCCCATTCCCAGCAGTGCCAGGAGTGATCCCTGAGTGCTGCTGGCTATGTTCTAAAAACAGTGACTTTTTTTTTTTTTTTTTTGGTTGGAAGGCAGAAGTGTTTGGGACAGTAAGACTCAGTTGGATAACCTCCCTGTTACAGAATTTATTTAAAAATTCCTTCTATCTTCAAGTTTATCAAATCCCCAGAGTTGGGCTAAGAAAAGGTTTCATGAACATTCATGCAGTTGACTTAAAAGTTTTGACTGCTGCCTCTGAATCATTTCATCAGGTTGCTGTTAAGAAACTAGACAGCCTGGGGAGGGGGCTGGGGTGTCGTAAGTGCAGGGCTGAGGGTCAGTGGTCACCCCTCCACTCACCGTATGGCCTCACAGACAAAAACTAAGGTCTTGAAGTGAAAAGTTCCCGTGGGGATCTTTTCTGGTACACTCCTGTTCCGTCTTGATTTGTCCTGACAGATCAAGGTTTACTCAAGGTGCTCAGGGTTTACTACTGGCTCCGCACTTGGAGGTTACCCCCAGGTTGCTCATGTGCAAAATATGCACCCTCCCTGTTGCACTATCGCTCCAAGTTTTTACTTTTTTGGGGGGTCACACCCAGCGATGCATAGGGGTTCCTCTTGGCTCTTCACTCAGGAATTACTCCTGGCGGTGCTCGGGGGAACATATGGGATGCTGGGAATTGAACCCTGATCGGGTGCGTGCAAGGCAAACGCCCCATCCACTGTGCTGTCACTACAGCCCCAGCCAAGTTTTTACTTTTACTTCAAGTAAAACTGAGGAGGCACACTGAGTCAGCGGCGAGGGCATCTGCCAGAGCAGGGTTGGCATCGCCTGCTCTGTGTTGCTGCCACAGGTGGCTCTGCGAGTAGGCTGGGCAGCAGCTGTGAACTGATGGCATTTGTCTGTTCCACTCAGTTCTGCCCAGGCCTGAGGGCCACTGGCCACCGGCCCTTTTCCACAGATAAAGCAGAGACACATAGCATTGGCTTCGGCTATATTCGCAGAGGTGCTGTGACCGGCCTGTCGCAGTAGGTGCTGTCTTACAGGCTCAGGCGGCCAGTGAAGAGTCCTGGGTGGTGGTGGGGTGATGGGAGGAAATGAGAGAAGGTTTTTTCTGCCTGGAATCCTCGGGGGTGATGGCTTATGAAGTTGTTCTGGGGATCTGGTGTGGGTTGGGGTGATTTAAAGTGTGGTAAGGAGCAGGGAACTGAAAAATCGCCTTCGTAGTACTTTCCCAGTATGTCCCAGTGCCTTCCCAGTATATCCCAACACCTTCCCGGTACATCCCAGTGCCTTCCCAGTATGGCCCAGTGTCTTCCCAGTACATCCCCGTGCCTTCCCAGTATGTTCCAGTACCTTTCCATAACCTTCCCAGTACATTCCAGTACCTTCCCAGTTTGTCCCTATCTGTCTTGGACATTGAAGTCCAGTTTTCACTGTGTGTGAAAGAATGAGGGGTGGGGGAAGAGGAGGAGGGAGAAGAGAGGGGGAAGAGGGGTCCGGGAGAGGAGGGGGGAGAGAGAGAGGGAGAGAGAGAGAGTGTCCCCTCAGGTCTGACGTGTGTGTGTGTGTGCGTGTGTGTGTGTGTGTGTGTGTGTGTGTGTGTGTGATAGCAGCACTCCTCAGGTCTGACCTGTGGATGCCAGATGCCAGAGTTTGTGTGTGTGATTGTGTGTGTGTGTGTGTGTGTGTGTTTCTCCCTTTCCGCATGGGAGGTCTGGGTTTGATTCCTTGCCCCAGAGTATTAGCCCCTACCACGTGGCCCCAAACAAAAATGTCAAGTGGAAAGTGAAGCAGTGTGGGTGACGTTGTGAAATAGTTACGCATGACTCGAGGAAGGAGTCTGACCTTGTATCTGATCCGCTCCCGCCATGGCTGTTTCTGTCAGATTGTCGCCAGGGCCAGACTCTCCTGGCTGAAATCGCTGCCGCAGTGAGGGCCCCATGGAGACTGGCTTTCCAAGAGTTGGGTGAGGCCAGGCTGCCTCTCAGGAGGCTGGAGTAGGCCCTGGGGTGCAGAGACCCGGGGGACGTGCCGGATTCCTCAGCAGCCTTGGGACTGCGTGGATGCCTCCTGTTCCCATTAGTGCTTGTGCTTTGCTAGGTGGAGTTGGGGTGCATACTGGGCTGGACTAGTAGCGGGGCCTCAGGGACCGAGCCAAGGGAACAGAAGTGGGGAGGCTCTGGGGCAGGCAGCCTGTGACCCTGGGAAGTGCCCCGCCACCATAGTTCCCTAATGACGATGACCAAAGGACAGCACAGTCGCCTCCCTGAGGTCACATTCCGGGTCTCTGAAGGAATGATTTGAGGCGTGGGCACGGGGTTCAGTCCTGTACCAGGTCTGGAGCCACCGAAGCAGCCATGAGAAAAAGGTGTACCTGAGACACGGAGATGGGGTCAGATACATTCTTGCTGTTTGCTTTGTAGGACAACCCGGGGGTGCTCGGGACTTTGGCATATGGGATGCCTGGTGGTGGGGGGCTTGTCTGCTGGCCAGTGAGAAAATTGCAAATGCTCAGTAAAGGGGCGGGGCTCTGAAGGTGCTTGGGCCAGAGACCCAGAGGCAGCATGACCCCGGGGCAGGGACACCCCAGGGCGGAAGGACACAGGGCTGGGGGGGGGGGGGGTGCCAGAGAGACCCCAGGGCAGAAAGGTGAAAGGACATTGGGCAGAGAGAGCCCAGGGCGGCAGAACACGTGTGACCTCTGGGAGATCATGGAAACGAGTCCAGTGCTCAGGAAAGGGCCACAGAGTCCAGCTTCGGACAGTGCTTGGGTCACTCGGCCATGCCTTCGGCTCAGTCCTGGGCCTCCGTGCGCAGTGTGTGACCCAGTGTGTGACCCACGGTCTCCAGGGGTTGCACTGGAGGCTGAGGGGACTGAGGACACTCAGCCGGACTCTCTCCCTGACTCCGCTGCCCAGGCCCGCCTGTCTCAGCCTGGCGCAGAAACAGTTTAGTTTTGGGGTCTTAGGGAGCCCATACCTGGCCCAGCACAGGGCTCTATTGGCGGCTGGCCTGTGTCCCAGCCCCTGACGAGCTACTCATGCTTTTGCAATCTTCGCTGAGTGCTTGCTGCCTCCCTCCGGCCGCCCTGCTCTCGGGAATGGGGCTGTCTGTGGGGAGAAAGCTCCACCACACCATGGTTGGGGCCGGGGCTGTCTGTGGGCCTCACTCTGTCCCACATCATGGTCGGGACTGGGGAGCCTCACTCTTCCCTGTTCCTGGCTCCTGACTGACTCTCCTACAGAAATGGAAAGGACGATGACAGCCAGCCTTCATTTGCCTCCCTTCATTGCCCCCGTGGTCTTGTCGGGGTGTTTCAGCACAGCTGCCGCTGAAGCGTGTGTGGGGTCCTGGCTAACACCCTCAACAACCCTGAGATGGGTCCGTACGTGTGGCAGCTCTATGTTTATTGATCGGCTCATCTGCTCCTCTCAGCGTTCCTTCTGAGGAAACTGAGGCCCAGCGTGACCTGGGCAGCCCCGTTCCTCGGCCCCCATCAGTGCACTGGTTGTGATGTACGTTGTTGGAGCAGGTTCTGTCCCTGCGGTGCCCCCTCCCTGATGCGGCCATGCTGCCCAGGGTCCAGCGTGAGCGCTGTCAGCCCTAGGCCTCTGGCATTCCTATTGCTGATTTTCACTGAGTGTTTTCCTAGTTGACAGTTCTATTTCCTGGTAAATAATTTTCCTTCTCTGATTTTGACCTCGGGTAGAGAAATCAATTCCTCTAAATCAACCTTAAATTAAAGCTAAATGAAAATGTCTCAGGCATCAGTGAATGTCTCTGCTCTGCAGTGGGTCAGTTGCCTCCCTATATGGAACTGAGTTCTTTGGCACAGGTGTGTTACAAGAAAACAGACAAAAATCTTCGTGTAACTTGTGTGTGATACTGTGTGTTTCCACCCTTAACTGAACTAAAGTAATTGCATTAATAATTAATAATAAACTTACTGCATTTTTAAGCAGTCCATTAGTAAAATTTTGAAAAACATAGATCTTGTTATAACCTTTGGGTGCACAAATAGTTTTTAAATAAAACAGTAAAAGAAATGAATAAATAGGACTGTCTACACATTCTAAACTCAGGGAGGGTGTTGAACGTTCCCTGAATCTGGCTGCCTAGTCTGTGGGTGCAGGCAGGTCGCCCTACTGAAGCAGGTCGCTGAGATTGAGTATGGTTCACCAGGAGGGAGCTGAGGCGCCAGCACCTGTGAGGACATGCCCCCTCACACCGCTCTGTGCTGTTGTGAGGAGGAGACGGGGTGCAGGGAGACGGGGCTGCTGGCAGGAGCCACTTGTGACTGTCTCAGAAGATGTGCTCATTGTCACACCCCTGCTCCCTGCCCCAGTAGACCTGAGCGTGAAGATTCTGAAAAAGCTCTGTGGGAGAATGTTCACATACAGACACACACATGCCACGTACACTCCAGACAGTACATATACCACAGAATACACACTACATGCACACCACAGAATGCACACATATGCATTCATGCCACACACACTCAACAAACAGCACACACCACAGTATACACATACACATACTATATACACACCACCCAAGCCACATATAGTCACTGCAGTATGCACACACATACTACATACATGCCACATATGCCACACACACTCACCAAACAGTACACATCATACACACCACATACACTCACCAGACAGTACGCACCACCGTACACACACAAATTGCATACACAATGCACATGTGTATATACTCACCGGACAGTACATACTCCATTATACACATATACTGCATACATTCCACATACCAGATAGGACATACCACAGTACACACACACAGTGCGTACCACATTCTCACATTGTACATATAGTACACTCAGTGCATACATACCACATACACACCATCCACACAGTACATACACATACTGCATACATACCACACAATGCACAGACCCCTCCTACAAGAGAGAACCTTCTAGTGAGCTTATTCTGTTTCCTTGAAGGTCATTAAATCACTGTTTCTGTTTAGGGGAAGGATGTAGTGACCCCAGCACCATTTCTGAAAGCTAAAGACTGGAAGCAAGTCAGTAGCCTTCATGCTCCTGTGGGTGGTCACCGTGGCTTCTCAACCCCATGCTCTCTCAGAGCTGCACAGCCCAGTGGCAAGGTCCACATGAGTCTCAGCTGGCACCGGGTGCGGCCACATGTGAGAACTGACGGGTAGTGTGATATGGGAGCAGGGAGTGGGGGCCTCTCCCATTTCACAGGCTTGTGGGTCAGTGTCACGCAGCAGCCCGCTCCATCAATGATTAAAATGGAACATTCACCTTTAGCTTATTTAAGTCATATTTCAGAATAATTGGCAGTTGCCGTACAATAATATTGTTATTGTGAGCGATGAATCGAGAAGTAACTTAATCTAATTGTTGTTTCTGTGAATTAATTTTTAGGTATGAATTGAGAATTCGTTATTTGCCAAAAGGATTTCTAAACCAGTTTACTGAAGACAAGCCAACTCTGAATTTCTTCTATCAACAGGTATCAAAGGGTGCTCTATTAACATAGCGGTTTCCCCTATCTGAGTCCTACTAGGGTGTGTTCCCATTGTAGAGTGAGTGTAGTCTAACATTCGGGAGAACAGCAGCCTGTCTGTGTGGCTGTGAGAATCCTGGTGCTCAGGAGAAGTGTTGCGTTGTGTCTCTGACGCTCTGTGGCGTTTCCTCTGTGTGAGCATGTCTGATAGAGACCTCTGTGGCCGCCTTGAACCCTAAGTGATCAGGCCTTTGTCTTTCATTTATTTAAGTGGCAGGATTACTGTGAGTGGCGCAGATTGGCCTCTTGTGTATGTAACTGTCAAAACCTGCTTCACACACAGACTCTTGAAAGCAGTTTTCGTGGTGAGGCCAGGCAAGCACAAGACTTTGTCCTAGCGGCCGCAAGCAGCAGGGTTTGGTCAGGCAGTAGGTGCACGTGGCATAAAGCACCGCGCAGGTCTAAGACCGACTGGATGTCACTTCTCAGTATCAGGCAGCATTGCCACGGGTCAGCTGCATGTCACAGGCACATGGGCACATGCCATTTTGCTCCTGAATGCCCCTTGAGGAAGTTTCAGCTCTGGATAAAGGAGGTGTACAGTCCAGACTGGGTTGGGGAGGGAGGGGATGAGATGCATCGAAACCTGAGCTGTCGCAGCCTGAGGGGTGAAGAAGATTTGGGTTTTTTTTCCTCCCACGGATGACTGGGGCCATTGACAAGGTTTGATCCAGCAGGGTGCAGCCCAAGCGCAGGCACCACCTCCCGTGTGCCAGCCTGGGTCACCACAGCACCACAAACACCAGCACAGTCAAGAAAACAATTCTGTTAGTGAACGCCCACTCAGACTGTTTTGTCTTGAGTGAAAACTGCCTTCTGAGATGGCACTGTGGGAGTTGTTCAGGCTTTCCAGATACTCCAGTGAGTCAGGGTCCCGTCAGCCATTCAGACAAACAAGGACACCAGAAACTGCCTTGTGGAGGGGACCTGGGTGATGCCTGGCCCCGTGGCCCCCCAGGCACAGCGCAGTGGGAGAAAGCCCCGGGTATCCATGTGTGCGTGTGTAAGAGGGCAGCTGTCTGCATGTGTGAGAGAGGCTGGGTGCTGGGTATTCCTGGGGTGAGGCTCTCAGGTTGGTATGCTTGGGGGTTGGGGTGGGGCGAGGCCTAAAAGAGACAGAGTGTGAAATGGGGGCCTGTGAGGTGAGGAGCAGAGGCCTGCTCGGGTACCTGGTGCCATGTGCCAGGGAGCCCCCCGGCCCCCCAACCCAACCCCAGCCTCTGTGTGTGGCAGAGCCACTGGGTTGTCCTGAGGTGGAGAGATGTCTTTGGCAGCGTCCCGCGGTAACCTGGGGTCCCCTGGTGTGTTAGGGGCCAGTGACTGTCCCTGTGACCGATGGATGAAAGAACGGACCCACAAACTGGTAATCAGTGGCCGTTTATTCAAACCCCTGAGCGCCATTATATAGGAATTGTGAAGGACTGGGGGGCAGCAGTTCCCCGTAGGAGTGGTTGAATATTAGCACAAACAGTGAAGAGAAGGAAAGCCCCTCCTTCAGGGAAAGCCCTACTAGGAGATCCACCCAACGATGCAATATCATCACCCAGGGGCTCCAGTATTCTAGATTCTTCTAGGAGATCTTCCAAGGATGAAATTCCATCTAAGGGCATATTGCTTTCTCCTTTACTGGCAATTCCTTTAAACATTTGTTAAATTTGATTCTTAATAATATTTCTAGTCATTTTGTACGAACACAGGAAGAGATACTTATCTGTGCCCTAGATTAAGCTTCATGGTCTCTCTGTACTCATGGTAAAGGATGGCTTTTCCTGGGGACATCTCGCTGTTTTTCCCAGACCACAGTCCTCAGGCCAGGTTAGTTTTTCCTAACCCCAACAGTGTCCTTATTCAGTTACTTCTTTTTGGGTCATGTCAGAGTTTGTTCCATGACTGTATTCTTAGCCTATTATACTTCTTATGGTGCTTAGGTTGTCCTGTGTCCCCATCTCAAAGCCAGGGTAACTTACGACTTGCCCTGGGTCCATTCAAGTCCCCCAGGACAACTCACCATTTGGGGTGTAAGGAACTAAGGTCAATCTAAGGGCAACGGAGGCTTAAGTCAAGTAAGTATGATGGATGCCCAGGAGTAGATAATATTTTGAGTCAATTACAAAAGCATAGCATTACTTGTCTTCCTGTGTCTCTGCAAAAAGGACATTGCTCTCAAATAAAAATATGCAAAGGACATAAGGAAAAGAGAAAAAGCAATATTTCACTTACATATGCAAAATCCAGAACCATCAGAAGGTTTGGCTTTACAAGTTGCAGTGTCTGATTAGGAGATACTTGTGACTAACAGGGGAAGCAGAGCACAAAGAAGAGTTTAAAGATAAACACAGAGGATTGGGAGCACCTGATGGAATTGGGTCTGCCTTGGGAGCATTGTGGTGGAGTGACTCAATTAACCTAAGCTCCCTGCAGGAGAAAGGACAACCCAATGTTAAACCTAAAATGCTTGGAACTGTAATCCTACACCCCTGACCTCCTCCTCTCAGTGGTCTGTCACCTTGAAATTCTCTGGCCAGCCCACCTTGGGGCTGTGGGGCTGGAGTGGATCCTGGTGCCTTCCAGGCTGACCAGCTGGCGAGGCTTTGGGTGTCCCGCCATGACTGTTCCCACTTCCCTCCTTGAGACCCCCCTGCTCTGGGGAACTCGACGCTGTTCCAGGTTTGCTCTCAGCAAGCCCTTACCGTTGTCGGCTGCCTTTGAGCCTAGTGCTCCCTCTCAGGAGTGGAAAGTGGGATGTGGCGCCCTCACTGTGTCTGCCGTGGCCCCTGTGTGCCTCCCCTGACGAGATCCCGCTCACCTTTTCCAGGTGGGATTCTGTTGATCTGTGTGCAGTGCCAGCCATTGAGCAGGGCCTCCCTGGCAAGGCTAGTGCCCTGTCGCTGAGCTCATCCCGTGCCCCAGTGCCCAGCATCCCTGTTGAGCGAGGGTGTGGTACTGCACAGGCTTCAGTCCACCCTGGGAACCTCCAGGACTGTGCCACAGAACTTGGGGACCCACTGTGTGCCTGGGACCCAACTTGGGTGAATGTGTGCCCTGCATATGCTTCACCCACAGCCTCAGTGTGCATTGGAGAGCCTGGCGAAATCCTCAGCCATCGCTCACCTGCTCTCCTTCCCACTGGGCGCTGTGCCTGCGAGCTCTTGAGATGGCCTCGTGCCAGAAGGGAGTCCAAGAAAGGGAGGCCAGACCGGGCTGAGGACATTGGTTCAGAATACCAAAGTGACAATCCTTAAATGTTTCTACCTTGCAATTCAGTGTGGCCCCATAGACATTGGTAGTTCTGTAAGTTAAATGTAGAATGCCTGTAGTTTCTGTTTTTGGTTGGTTTGGGGGCCACATCTGGTGGTGCTCAGAGCTTACTCCTGATCCTGTGCCCAGGGATCACTCCTGGCAGGGATTGGGGGACCATCTGGGGTGCTGGGAATTGAGTGCCTGGTCTGCTGTGGGAGATTCAACCCTGAGCTGAGCCCTTTCCAAGCCCACAGAAGTCAGTTTAATTCTGTTTTCTGAGTCTCCAAGTGCGATGCAGGGATGAGGGATCTCCACCAATGATACTCAGCCAAGTGGGCTGGAGGACGTGATGTTGGGCACGCGTAGAGCTACTCCAGGAATAGAGAGTTGGACACATGCAGAACACACATGCTGACCACTGTACTATCCCGCAACTGCCACACTCATCGGAAATCCGTTAGTGCCTCAGTGCTTCCTATCTGTCCGAGCATGTTGAGCCGGCAGCCCTGCTCAGGAAACTGAGGTCAGAGCCTGGTATTTCTGTGGGGAGGTCACCCTGGTCTTTCTGGGAAGGAGGTGAAGTTAGTATGGGTCCAAGGCTGACGCTATGGTAGTCTCTCTCTTGACCCCACGGTGGCTTCTGGGAACTGTGCCCTGTGCCTGGGGTCTTGGAGAAACCCCACCGCCTCCTCTCTTCTGCATAGATATCTCCAAACAGAAACGGGCACTTGCCCTCCCTCCTGTTCTCCACTCCATCCCTGTCTCCTGCTCTGTCCTGACCCCCACTCCATCCCTGTCCTCACTCTGTCCTATCCCCTACTCCATCCCTCCCCACCTGCATATATTTTAAAATTGCCTCTATCTGTGCCAGGGATCTTGCTTGGAAGGAGAACTCTGGTCTTTTCTGGGGGTCCCAGGGCTCCTGTATGCTCAGGCGATCATCAGGAGGGTCCACAGGACACAGTGGCGGGTGTGTTTGAAGGACCAACAGGGAGACGGATAGTAGAGGTGGGGTGCAGGGTTTCTTGTACCTCTTTGGCATTTGACAGACAAGTTTGTGATCAGGTCCATTGTCAACCTTGGGTGGGACGGGGCCGAGAGACCAGTCAGAACTGGAGAGTGGGCTTTGCCTGGGGGGGTCCCTGGGCTCGGGCACCACATGGCCCAGAAGCCAGCACAAAACACACAAAACCCAAAACAGCTCTCAGAGGTTTTTACCGGAAAGAACCACGTGGCTTTGTGGGGCCAGCCGGGAGATGGAGAGCAGCCATGTTGGGGGGATAAGAGCCAGCAGGGGTGGTGGCCAGATGAACTAGGAAGTGAGGGCCCTGCCGTTCTTGCTGTGCACCTGGACCTTGGTCACACCAGACTTCTACGACTCCTCTGCTGAGTCCTGGCTCTGTTTTTTGTTTGTTGGTGTTTGTTTGGGGGGCCACACCTGGCGATGCTCAGGGGTTACTCTTGGCTCTGCACTCAGGGCTCACTCCTGGCAGTGCTTGGGGGACCATGTGGGATGCTGGGGATGGCCATGCGCCAGCGCCCTCCCTGCTATTGTCGCTCTGATCCTCAAGTTCTTGCTCTTAACGCCTGCTGTGTCACCTCAGGCAGACAAGGCTTCTGATCTTCCTGACAGCGCAAGCCTGCCTGGAGTTTTGCAAAGATGGGGACTGCTGCAGGGGGAGCGCTGGGCCCTGGGCCGGCACACAGACTTCCTGCCTCCATCCTCACTGCTCTCAGGCCCTTTCTAGGACTGGAATCAGGGAATGAAGGCGGTGATGCTGTGAGGGTCTGTGGGGACATTCTGTGATAGTCATCCGACACAGGGCCATGTGCGCGGCACCAGGCTATGTCTGTCTCAGATTGTAGCAGCCAGAGGCAAGCTTGAATCTCGGGAGATGCCTGAGGCCAGCCGTAGGGGAAGGACGGACCACCGCCCCTTGGGGCCCTTTGCAGACGAGGCAAGGGGCCCGATGGCTCCCTGGGACAGGCCTGCCCTGCGGAGAGGGGCTGTCACTCCCCTTTCACTTGTGCGGCCACCTGAGTTTGAGGCCGACGGGTCTCTGCCTCCTCTCCCCTGTGGATGATGTTGCAGACCGTGATGCTGGTGTTGGGGACAGCTGTGCAGGGACTGTTCTCAGTGTGTCTGAGACTGCCGAGCACCTGAGTTCATGGCTCCTGCTTAGGTCCTCTTGCCTCATCACCTGAGTTTTGAGTTTTGAGGTCTATTTTTTTTTTTTTTAACTTTTTGGGCCATACCCGGCTATGCTCAGGGGTTACTGCTGGCTTTGCATTCAGGAATTACGCCTGGCAGTGCTCAGGGGACTATTGAAACCCAATCGGCTACGTGCAAGGCAGACGCCCTCCCTGCTGTGCTATCACTCTAAGCCATCTTGCTCCAGTTTTGAGTTCTTAACACAGTTCAAAGCCAGGCTCACCGTACCTGGATTTCCAGAGAGCCAGTTGGAAGTGTGGACAACGTGATGCCAGAAATGAATCTGCTACTTGGTGTACTGAGCTGTTCCTCATCCTCTCGAGTCTGACTTGGGGTGGGGGCATTGGCCAGAGGTTCACCACGTGCTTGACCCCCGAGGTCTCCTAGGCTCCAGGTGGGAGGCCCCTGCAGATAAAATGACTGAAAATCAAGTAAGCGAGTGTTGCTTTAGATCTTCACAAAAATCATACCTGCCATTGCCCAGAGGGCAGTTGGCTGGACACTGCTTGGTCAGTGTCGATTGTTCCCCTGGGTATGAGGCCCAAGGGCACTGAGGAAGGTGTACCTGGTGCCCGGAGCTCGCTGATGATCTGCTGTACCCAGGGAAAGCTCAGTGGACAGCTGCCCCTGCAAGACAGGGACCTCTGGCGAAGGTGGAGGCGGGGGCCCTGCGGGCCCTGAGGGTGGCACTAGGCCCTGGCAAGCTGGGAGCCGCGCTCTGTTGGGGCTTGTCTGTGGTTCCCAGCAGGGTCTCATTTGCTCGACCTGTGACTTCTTTACGCGGACAAGGGCTCCAGAAACACCTCAGATTTGTAGTGGGTTTGATCTCGACTTTTTCCCTTTTTTTTTCCTTCTTTTGGGTTTTTGTGCCATACCTGGCAGTGCGCAGGGCTTCTTCCTGGCAGGGCTCTGGGACCCTATGGGAATCAAACCTGGGTCGGCCGCGACCGAGGCAAATGCCCTACCTGCTGTACTGTTGCTCCGGCCCCCCGAGTTAATTCTTAGTTGTGTGCTCAGTGACCACCTTCTGCCGCCACATTCTTCCTGCCCCGTATTCTGTCCCACAGCCGCGTGGGGTCTCAGTCCCGTGTCTGTGAACCTGAGGCTGGTACTCCAGCTCCACGGCAGCTGTTTGAATCGTAGGGGTCGGGGGGGATTGCGGCAGTCGGGGTGAGTTCCCAAGGAGTTGGAGGTGGCTTGGTGGACGGCAGAAGAAGAGTTCAGAATGTGGACACAGTCAGCTGGGGGTATATGTCTTCTGAGCAGACGAGCAGGCAGGCTGGAGACTAGGGCCGGGAAGACAAAGGTCTTTGGAGATTTGTCTGCAGCTAAAGCCTCCACATTTTCTGTCGAGCTCCAGAGAGTGAATATAAATAATGAGTCAGGGCAGATGCAGATTTTATGGCGATAAAATTCAAAATATAAAAACGTGCAGGCCAGAGAGAGAACTCTAAGGACCAAGCCCCTGCTTTGTGAGATCTCTGCCCTGCACGGTCCCTTGAGTGCCGATGGGGTTCCTTTCCAAGGGAGGAGGAACATTAAACTGAACTGAGCCTCAGAATGAGTGTTCTCTCCCAGTTCCTCCATCACACACAGTGACCCTCGAGCACAGAGCCAGGAGTGAGCCCTGAGCTTCTGTCATCAGTATGCTCCATGTTTCAGCTGCTGATCTGGATTGGTCAGGGACTCCCCCAGTTCTGGGTTTTTGGTATACGCAGCGGCGGTCAGGGCTCACTCCTGGTTCTGTACTCTGGGGACCAGATGAGGTGTTGGGGATTGAACCCCGGCTGGTCGCATGCGAGGCCGGCACTTTCCCTTCTGTACGGTCTCTCCAGCCATGCCTCTGAGGCACTTGCAGTACCCACCTAACATTTGAAGGTGTCCCCCCGCCCAGCTGGTCGAAGGCCCAGCTTAGCTGCACTTCCTTTCCCTTGGGCATGGCCTCGGATATGTTCCAGGTTCAGTGGGTCCCCGCTGGGCCTCATGCCTGCAGTGTTGCCAAGTGTTGGGGAGGCACAGAGCATGCGGGGTAGGCTCTGACATGGACACTGGGGCTGGTTGGGAGAAGGCCCAGGCGTCTGTGTTGTCCCCCGCCCCGGGCAACAGGGAAGGCGTGAAGCAGCTGGATGTGGCTGGGGTTGGAGGGAGTCGGCTGCTTTTCGGCCCTTCCCAGGCCAACGGCATAGGAGGCTTTCTGGCGGGAGAAGCTTCTGCCATTCCCTGTTCCTTGCTCTTCTTTATTGTTACAGTCCAGGAGAGGGCAGGCATGGCATGAACAGAGGGGCGGGCGAGCGAGGTCAGCCTGTGACCACAGCCTGCCTCATCCTCCCTTTGTAGGTGAAGAGCGACTACATGTCAGAGGTTGCCGACCAAGTGGACCAGGAAATCGCCCTGAAGCTGGGTTGCCTCGAGATTCGGTAAGGAGGGGCCTGTGTCCACAGCGTGGTGTGGGCTGGCCTGGCGGTTCCTCCTGGGATGGGGCTCGCCACCTGAGCAGCAGAGGAGACACCTTGCTCCCACTTTCAGCCAGGAGAACCTTTCGTTTTCGCTTTCAGTTGGAAGTGGGTGGTTTCTGGCAGCCTCGTGCTCCCCAGAGAGCCGCCCCGGACCCCCAGCCTCCTCCCGCCGTGCCACCTCGCTGCCCGGCCCTTTTCGTGTCACTGACTCATGAGCTGGACCAACGAGGGTTCCGCTCCGGAAAACCCCCAGTGGTGCTGAGAGACAGTACAGGGATGATGGCTTGCGTGCTGTGACCCAGCTCAGCGCCCAGCCCTGCCACATTCCCACATGTGTCCCCCACCCCGTAAGAAAGAAGAGACCCCCCTGCTCACAGAAGCCAGCTCACACCCCCTTTGTGCCCGATTTCGTTTTCCCTGTAATCCAGCCCTTCCATTTAAGGAGGCCAGAGGGAAGTGACGAGATACAGCAGGTGAGGCCTGTGCTGTCCAGCTGACCGCACGTTCCTGTGGATGGCCCCGGGGGCTTGGCATTGTCGTGCTTCCCCTGCTGCACAGCCGGCTGAGCCCCCTGCGAGCGAATGTGTGCCTGCCAGAAGTTTAAGTTCCCATCCAACTGGAACTTGGTCCAGGAAGCTCTGCAGTTCTGAAGTCACCCTCCGGGAGGCCCTGGCGGGTGCCATGTACCATGGACACTGCCTGGTGCCGCCCACGCCCCTTGCCCTTCCTTACCTGGACCCATCCCTGTGGTTCGTGGTCCTGTCACTGCTCTGCTGGCTAGGCGCAGCGGCGACACCACTCAGTGCCCACAGCTGAGGCAGGGCTCCTGCTGCAGGCCGGTGAACACGGAGGCCGCGCAGGGCCTGGCTCATGGCTAGGTCTTGCAGACGTTCGCTCCTTGCATCTGAAACTCTCTGTCATCCCTGGTCACAGGCGATCCTACTGGGAGATGCGGGGCAACGCGCTGGAGAAGAAGTCCAACTACGAGGTGTTAGAGTGAGTCCCCGCCTCCGTTTGCTCGGAAACCTTCATTTTCTTCTTTAGTGCTTAGCAATTTTCTGGGTTTTTTTTTTTTTTTTTTGTCCTAAAGTCTGTTTTACTTGCCTTCGGTTAGCTTTTATTTTCCGTTTTTACGCTGTGTTTCTTTGCACAGGCACTTTCTCAGGCATGTCTCATAGTGGTGCCAAGTTTGGCGTCTTAGAGCTAGCCTGGTCTTTGGGCAGGCTCAGCATGTTCCCTTACAGGGCTGGTCTGGGCCGGCTCCGTTGCCTTTATTACTATTGTCCTTTCTCGTCATATACTTTTTTGTTTGTTTCACCTTAGTTTTGGGTTTTCTGTGTGTGCTGCCCTGGTTTTTGCTGTTTAATTCTTGGTTGGTTTTCTTAGTTTTTCTTCTCTAAAGATTAAAAAATTTGGGAATGACCCTTGTAGTTAGTGACTGGTACCTATTGAGCTGGATAGAGATCAGGTTTTATCTGCGTCCCTGTCCCCCATCCTAAAATCTTAGGCCACAGGTCGACCCTGTTCCCTGAGTCCAGCTCCAAGTAGCTCCCTCTGTCCCCCACCCTTGACAATAGGCACTCCTGTCCCCTGAGACAGACTGTCCATTTCCTGCCCCTGTGTCCTCGGCTCCCCTGGGCCTGCCCTGCCCCTGCCATGTGCCTTCCCATGCCCTGCGGGTGGCTGGGGCTGTGCAAGCCTGTGGTGGTGCTTCCAGATGCTCCCGCCTCTCTGGTCACCTCATTTGTGTTCTCTGAGTCCAGCTCGGAGCCAGTGCTCCTTGACTCCAGGGCAGGTCCCTGTGGAGGTCACCTGCTGTCCCTGTTTGGCCTTTGGTGGCTGTGTCTGTCATTTCATGCTGCTGAATTCTGCCCCCTCCCTGCCTTCCCTGCAGAGGAGCTCATGGCGCGGCGCCCCATGGAAAGTGGCCCCACATTCACCCCTCACTGTCATGGTCCCACTGAGGGACCTGTCTCTGAGTACAGAGACTGCCACGCCTGCGATGCCCAGAAGTCGGCTTTCTTCCCGATGAGCTCTCGGGAGAGTGTCTCCCTGGCTGTGGGACTCTAGAACTGGGGTCCACTGGCAGGTGCTGGGGAGAAGGGAGGCCGCACCTGCCTGGCCTAGGGGCCCCGGGGGGATTCCAGGCTCTGCTCTGAAACACCCAGTGCCAGTGTCCCTCGCAGGGACATCCTGTGCCTTTCAGAGCACGTGGCTGCCATCTAGTGGCCACTGCATGCAGGTCCCTGAGTTCGCAGGGAAGATGTGACTAGTGGAACTGGATCCTGTACTGGAGCTTGGAGTCTCTGGTGGGACCTTCATACTCCAGATGCATCTTGCACGCTAAAGATAGCCACTGTGACTGCCTTCATCTTTACAGCTTTAACTCATGGTCTCTGGAACTGAGACGACAGAATCTTGATTGGGTAAAGGAATCTCGTAATCAAAATGTTCCATCGAGAGGCCTGAGAGAGTACAGTGAGTAGTGCACTTGCTTTGTGCACATCTGACCCGGGCTCGATCCCTGGCATCCCATATGGTCCCCTGAGCACTGCCATTCCTGAGTGCAGAGCTAGGAGTCGCCTGAGCATTGCCGGGTGTGACCCCAAAACAAAATTGTTTTATTTAAAAAATTAGTTTTTTTGCATTCATCCAGGGGATTTGAAAAAAGACTTAAATGACATATGTCTCCACTGATCACCCAGGTGGCACTAATGTTTCTCAGTCTTGGCTTGAAGCAGAAGGTTGCACTGGGCGGTCAGTCAGCAGAGACAGGGTTCTCAGGGTGCCTTGGTGGTGAGTTTGAGGGTGCTGAGGCTTCGTTTCTGCACCAGCTTGTCCTGCGTATCTGGAGGGCTCTGGAACCTTGTCCTGTTCATCCCAGGTGCCCGTAGCAGCGGAGCTCAGCCTGACTGCCCTCTTTCTTGAGTAGTTTGTGGAAGAAGTAACTTCAGGTGCCTCTGTGTGTTGGTGACGTTCATCATGCTGGGTGGGCCCTTGCACTCGTTAACATGCTTCTTTCTGTGTTTCAGGAAAGATGTTGGGTTGAAGCGGTTTTTCCCTCGGAGCTTACTGGATTCTGTCAAGGTGAGTAAAAGTGCGTGGCTGGGACCAAATGGCCTTGTGATGCATAGGCACCATTGGGGTCAGTTGCTGAGGCTTGATCCATAGTGGGGGCCCTGAGTTCCACCTCCAGAGAGGCCCTGTAGGAAGCTGGTGGCTCTCCTCATCCGGTTCCTGTGCTTATGTTGGCTGCCCTTGGTGGCATGCGGGCCCAGGGGTGCCCTGCCTGGGGTCAGTCCATGGGAGGTCTCTGGGTGTGCCACAGCTCATGTTCCTTCCCAGCACTGAGGCCAGTGCCAGGGTGAGGAAGAGGAGCGTCTCCATGGGCTGGATCACTCCCCAGGCCCTCCTTGACTATCCCTGTGTGCATGCCTCCTGTGTGGGGATGGACTCTTCCCTTGCCCTCCGGGCTCCTGGAGCCTTCCGTTAGAATGTTGTAGTCTGTGCACCAGAGTCGTCATGTGAGGAACTGTGGCTGGCTGAGACACTTTGGATGACTGGCTCCATCCTGGCCCATCCCTGGGAATTGCAGAACTCTGGCCAAGCCACTTGTCTCGGTGCTTTGGGTCCACCTCTCTGGTGGAATAAGACCACTCAAGCGCATGGGCCTGATCTCGACTCCAAGGATGGAAATGAATCATTCAACGTGAAGATCAAAGTAAAGTAAAGATCTACCACTGCCAGACAGCACTGCAGCCACGTGTACCTGACTCCCAAGCATGATGCTTGGGAGTTTCATATTGGATGTTTCTTCCCTCGTGTCCTGTGGCACCAGCGATGCGACTCTCAGACATTGTCCCGTGCGGCCAGGATTACCTCTGCCTGGCACCATTTCTCCTCAGGGGCTGACCTGGGTGTTCTGCTTGTGGGGCTGGAGGTGATATGAGGTCATCTGCTCCTGCCTGGTGGGTGCCCAGATACCAGGGAACAGCGCTTGTTCACGGTACAGGAACCAGGACCCCGGAGGAGCAGATGCAGTCCCTGGCTCATTGGGAAAGATACTCCAGTGAGACCAGGGCTGTGATTAGGGGTCAACTCTGTGGTGTTTGCTGACCACTGCAGCTTATGTGGCTCTGCCTGGGGCCTATCCCCCAGCTGCATTGGGGGCAGGAAAGGGGCAGAACAGCTACTTGGGGATGGTGTAGCCCATGTTGAATGACCATAGCGCTCAGTGCCTGGGGTCCACGTGGGACTAGTAGGAGGCCCCTGTGGGGCAGCCCGAGGAGGAAGGTCCAGTCTGCATGATGCTGGCAGCCTTTTAGGTTCCTGTTTCAGAATGAAGGTCAGGCTGGACAGGGCACGTGCCTCACATACTCTGCGGCCTGGAGCCCTGGACTGAGCAGCGCCTGGGCGGTGTGGCCTGGGGCCCTGAGCATGCTTGGGAGGTGCCTTTCCAAACAGAGCTGAACGGTCACAGCTCAGAACCACTGAACGTTGTCTTAGCAGCCACTCAGGGACTGGGGCTGTGCTGCACGGGAGGCCCTGCCCCAGCCAGTGAAGGGTTAGGGTCTGGCGTCCACTTGGTGCACTCCCCAGCATTGACGGATGCCGCACAGCCCTGACTCTGACGGCAGCTCTCGAGGGGCATGGATAGGAGGAAGTGGCGTCATGGTCCTGCCCTGGTGTCAGCAGTCACTGCCCCGGTCTTTATTCTGTGTTGACTGAGCCAGGCTTATGTTTTCACCCGCAGGCCAAAACACTAAGGAAGCTCATCCAGCAGACGTTTCGACAGTTTGCCAACCTGAACCGGGAAGAAAGTATCCTCAAGTTCTTTGAGATCCTCTCCCCGGTGTACAGATTCGACAAGGAATGCTTCAAGTGTGCCCTGGGGGTGAGTGGGGGCGCCCTGGGCCTGGGGCTCTGTGTGCCCTGGGAGTACTTGTCCCCTGCTGGGACTCTGCTTTCTGTCCTCTCAGTGAGGAAAGCTGCCCGTGTGAAGGTGGGACCTGCCTCACTGATCATTGGCCAGAGGCCCCAGTTCCGCCTCTCAGACCCTGCTGGTCTTCCAAGGCTGAACGGGCAGCCTGTGGTTTTTCCTTCTTCAGAGAATCTTCCAGAACCGCCCCCAACCCCCTGCACGTGTCTGAGCAGGGCCCCCGGCTGCACTGCCTGTTAGTCTAAACTCCAACCCACTTGTCCTTGAGTCTGTCTAAAATCATCCTTTTTCCTTCTGCTTCTCTGTCCTGTTTCCTCTTTAAGTCAAGCTGGATTATTTCGGTGGAACTGGCCATTGGTCCTGAAGAAGGCATCAGTTACCTCACGGACAAGGGCTGCAACGTGAGTGTCTGTGGGGCTGAGAGATTGGGCGGGCGGGTGAGGATGCGCAAGTGCTTCCTGGACGGGAGGAAGCAGGTGCTGGGCTGAGTTGTGGGGGGGTCCCTGGCTGGGGTGTGGCGGAGGGAGGCTCTGGTCTCCGGGGAACACAGATACCGTCTGCCAGTTGTGGGGCCTGAGGCAGCACGGGCCTGCTGGGTTCTGTCAGGCCACTGACGTCTTGGGGGATTTGGTCACAGCCAGAGATCGAGGGCCGAGCTGCTCCCAGATACTGCAGCCCTGGCTGGCCAGTCCCAAAGAAAAATTCCCGTTTTTATTTTTATTTATTTATTTATTTATTTTGCTTTTTGGGGTCATACCTGGCAATACACAGGGGTTACTTCTGGCTTTGCACTCAGGAATTACTCCTGGCGGTGCTCAGGGGACCATATGGGATGCTGGGAATCGAACCTGGGTTGGCTGTGTACAAGGCAAACACTCTACCTGCTGTGCTATTGCTCCAGCCCCCCAAAATTCCTTTTTTTTTTTTATTCATTTTTGTGCCTCTCCTAGGCGGTGCATGGGGCTTAATCCTGGCTCTGTGCTCAGGATCACACCTGGTGGGGCTTGGGAGACCCTGTCAGTGCTGGGGTTGGAACTGGGTTGGCCACATGCCAGGCCAGTGCCCTGCTCGCTGTGTGCCCGCTTGGTCTGGCACGCGTGATTTCTTAGAGCTGCTCCAGTCCACAGTGAGCTCTGGAGGATATCTGCAGATGCGGATCTTTCCCGTCTGGTTTCTCTCTGTTGTTTTCACAAGCCTCTGGTTGGCTGTCGGCTTGGAGCAGACAACTCCGGAGCCTGTGAGTCCCCTCCAAACCCCCTGTGTGTAGACATAGGCTGCTTTGTTTTGGGGGGGGCCACGCCTGGCTCTGTGCAAGGGGACCCGGTAGGCGGTGCCGGGGACTGAACTGAGGTGGGCCATGTGCGAGGTAGGTGCCATGAGAGCCCCCATCTGCCTCCGTGCTGTGGCCTGGCCTCTAGCAACCCTCGTGAGCTTCCCAATCAGCAGTGCTGCATGAGTGGAGCATCAGGGGCCAGTAGATGAGCGAGACCTGCATCACAGGTCACACCTTCCCTTTATTCCACACGGGGAACTGTACATGGAATGGCAAGCTGAGTTGAGCTTCACAGAAATTGGGATCAGCTGAGAACTTGGCAGGGAGTGGTCTGATGGGACTTAAGATGCCGGCTCTGACAGGAAATCCTGACTCACTTCCAACAGGAGAGAGAGCCAGGCAGGCGTTGGCAGAGGGGGCTGGGTTGTTCTTTATGCACTAATTTCTGTTAAAATCTAATCATTTTGGGGTGGAGGGATAGCCTTGCCCACACCTGCCCAGGTTCAGTCCCGGCACCCGCCGTGATCCCCTGAGCATCGCCAGGAGTGATTCCTGAGTGCAGAGCCAGGAGGAAGCCCTGAGCATGCCTGGTGTGACTCAAAAAAACAAAACAAAAATCTGATCATGTTTGCAGTAGAGACCATTTTTTTGTTAAAAATTGTTTTATTTTTACCCAGACCACTGGTTGTGCCAGGGGGACCAGGAGGTACTGGAACTTGGACCCGGAGCTCCTCAGCCCCAGCCTGTTGCCTGGGGTGTCCTTTACCGTGTCTTGCCACTTTTCGTGGGTGGTAGTATTGCCTTTTCCTTGTATTTCTACGTAGTTCGGAATTCTTGTTTTTAAGTTGTTCTGGGAGCCGGTCTCAGTTGTCATTCTTATGTTGCTGTCTTATCCAAGGAGATGGTTTCCCAGACATTTCAGATGCGTTGGGTCTTGATGGCGGTGGATAGGGTTGATCTGTGTAAACATGGCCTGCAAAAACGTTCTCTTGTATGGAGGGCATACGACTCTAGACCCTGGGGAGTGACTAGGAGCTTAGGTCGGAGCTGCAGGAGGCTGTTGGGTGGCCCGGACAGCCCTGGATGGTGTGCTGCTCCTCATCCGCCTGCTCTGGTGCTCCTGTGTAGGATGAGGTGACTGTTCGCATGCTCCTGGCCTCACCAGGCCAGCTGGCCTCCAGGCCTTGCTGCCTGTTCCCTGCTGTGGCTCAGTAGCTGACTTGTCTGACTGCTTCAGTGACTGCCCCTCCCGGTCGCCAGGAGCACGGCAGGCACTGTGTCTTCCCTGGACAGCAGCGGGCGGGCCGTCCCCTGTGCCTGCATTTGCTCCCGGAGGCTCTTTGTACTGTGGACTGCAGTGCAGGATGTGCTGGCGGGGCTGCCGGCCTGGCACCCACAGGCTGTCCCCTCCCTCCCCAGCCCACGCACCTGGCTGACTTCAACCAAGTGCAGACCATTCAGTATTCGCACAGCGAGGACAAGGACCGCAAAGGGACGCTGCAGCTGAAGATAGCAGGCGCCCCTGAGGTAAGGTGCTGCCCCTCACCCACCCTCTGTTCCTCAGCCACCCGCCTCGTGACCCCCTGGGTGAGGCGACCCTTGTGTGCGTGAGCAGCTGCTTCCCTGGCAGAGCCTTCTGTGCCATGCTCCGGGGGCACTCGTACCTGCTGCCACGTGTCCTGCTCTTCTCGAGCTACAGCAGCCAGGAGCCCAAGGGTGCTCTAGGACCCAGTGGAAAAACCCTTCCTTGGGGGCCCCAACCCTTGGGGGAGATAAGATGGGTGCACCCCACAGTCGCCCTAGATGTGGGCTGCTGTGAGGGCTGCCGTCATGTGACACATGCATGTGAGCTGACCATGCCCTCTGGGAGACAGATGTGACCCTGCAGGGGAGGCCTCCGAGCCCCCATGCATGGCTTGGTGCGTGGGTCTAGCATGGGCTGGAAGGGTGTCTGCTCCCCTGGCCCTGGGCCCCTCCCGGGAGACACGCTAGGTCTCAGGCTGATGGCTGCGGTGCCTTGTGGTTTTGAGACCTGCAGGTGGAGACGGCCCGCCTGCGTCTGCCGCTGGCCTCCTTTTCGCTGTCCCCAAATGGAATGTGGAGCAGTGCTGCTGAGGGGCGGGCTGCTGTGACCCAGGCCAGCTCTTGCTCTGGGAAGGGCTGTCCCCGTGGCGGCTGCTCCGGGAAGGGCACTGCGTCTCTGTCTCTGCTGACACCTGGGCTCCTAGTCCTGAGGGCCGGGCGTGCTGGGGAGTAGTGGACGTCCACTCTTTGTTTTTCGCATTGAAAACGTATAACAGGTGTTGGACCGAGAGCTGCTGGTAGCCTACTTTCTAAAATGAGCCATTCTTGACGTGTGAGCTCAGTGCCTCCCTTAATCAGAGCGTGCCCGAGGGGCTGGGCTTCTGCAGGGAGCGGCCCACCTTTCGTTCTGGTTGGCTCCCCCTTTTCCTTGGGGTCCTTCCCGTGACCATGCCTGGAGCAAGCTCTGATGTCCCGGCACAGCTGTTTGTGCCGGTGACCGACAACCTCTCTGTCCTGTGCAGCCCCTCACAGTGACTGCACCGTCCCTCACCATCGCAGAGAACATGGCCGACCTGATCGACGGCTACTGCCGGCTGGTGAGCGGGGCCTCGCAGTCTTTCATCGTCCGGCCTCAGAAAGGTGAGTTGCCCGTGGGTGCTGAGGGTGTCCGGCAGCTCTGGGTGGTGTGTGGGGACACCGCTGTGCCCCGTCCCATATTCCCGACATTGTCTGACAGGGTTTTTTTGGTTCTTGTCACTGTGTACAAATAAGTGTCACTGCTTGCTTTTTTTAAATTTTGGGGTCACACCTGGTGATGCTCAGGGCTCACTCCTGTCGGGGGGGGGGGGCTCAGGGACTGTGTGGGGTGCTGGGGGTTGGTCCCGGGTTAGCTGTATGCAGGGCAGACCCCCCTCCCTGCTGTTCTATTGCCCTGGTCCTATGGTCGCCATTTTCTTAGGTGTCCCTTGTGATCCTGAAGTAGCCCCCATTTCCTCCTTGTCAACTCGGAGGTTAGAGCCACAAAAAAGTGAAGTGTCAAGAACAGTGGCAGTCTTCAGTGGGGGACTCCTGGCCTGTCAGCCATGGCACTCTCATGGGGGTTGTCGGGGACCATCCTGGGCCTGTGCCCCGCAGGGTATTGGCCCCTTGGGTATGGGGACACTGGGCCATGGACTATCGGTCACCGGCATGAACAGCTGCACTGGGACATCAGAGCTTGCTCCAGGCAGGGCCACGGGAAGGACCCCGACGAAAAGGGGAAGCCAACCAGAACGAAAGGTGGGCCGCTTTCTGCAGAAGCCCAGCCCCTCGGGCATGCTCTGATTAACGGAGGTGCCATCAGTGGGTCTGTTTGTCAGGCCCTCAGGAGCTCCCAGCACAGAGGCACCTCTGTCCCCACGGCAGGCATGAGCTCTGTCTGTTCCCCATAGCAGGTGATGCCTGTCTGTCCTCACAGCAGATGACACCTTTCTGTCCCCATGGCAGGCTCTCCTGGAGCTCTTTGGGTACCCACCCATTGCTTTGTTTCTCTCAACCCTACTCCTGAGGTGGCAAGCTTTAGGGGTGGCGCCTGCACGGGGGACATGGCAGAGCCCTGCAGAATTCCTAGCCAGTTCCACCCAAGTGACTTGGGAGCCCACAAAGCAGCATCAGCCTTCCTGCATTAGCCTGGTTCTCCGGGGAGAGAGGGAAGCAGAGTGACTGGGTCGTTCTGGGTGCATATCTCTGAGCGCCACCCAGGAGATGCAGCACACGCAGCCAGTTGTGTGACTGGGAGATGCGGCACACACAATTGACGGTATGACCGGGAGATGCGGCACGCACAGCCGACGGTGTGACTGGGACATGCATACGGCACGCACAGCTGACGGTGTGACTGGGAGATGCAGCACACACAGTTGGCGGTGTGACCGGGAGATGCAGCACACACAGCCGACGGTGTGACCGGGAGATGAGGCACGCACAGCCGATGGTGTGACCAAAGATGCAGCATGTGCAGCTGACAGTGTGACCAGGAGATATGGGATGCGTAGCCAGTGGTGTGACCTGTGATTGGGAGATGTGGCACACACAACCAACAGCGTGACCAGGAGATGTGGCGTGCATAGCCCATCCCAGTGTGGCAACAAAGGCTCCTGGAGACCTGCTCAGGCCAGCACATAGGCCCCTGGAGTTTGGTGGGGCGGGGTGGGCACAGGTCTGTCCTAAGACCGAGGAGCAGAGAGGCAGGTGTATCCTTCCCTTCCCTGGAGGCCCCTCCGCCCTGCCGGGTCAGGACCCACCTGGACTGGCCCTGTTCACCCTCCTGTCGGGGCACTGGCTCCTGGGTGGGTTTGGCAGACAATGCCTAAGGCTGGCATCAGCTGGTGGTGGTTTGAAGCTGAGTAATTCACTGGAGCCTGGTGGGGGGATGACCCTGCACCCGCCCTCTGGGGACCCCCTGTGTTTTCATGGAGATCTGCAACAGGTTCCTCTGTCCCCAGGGATGGCCAGTTAGACGGGGGTAGGGGGCAGCTGCACCCTGCTGGGTGTCATGTGTCCTTGCCTCCTGCTGTTGCATCCCCGCCAGTTCCTGCCCCGTGCTTGTGTCTCTGTCCCTGCCAGCCCCTACCCTGTACCCGTCTCTTTCCCTGCCAGCTCCTGCCCTGTGCCCATGTCTCTGTCTCCGCCAGCTTCTGCCCTGAACCCCTGTCTCTGCCCCTGCCAGCTCCCTCCCGGTACCCCTGTCTTTGTCCCCACCAGCTCCCACTCTGTGCCCATGTCCTTGTTCCCCATGAGGTGGCTGGTCCATGACTGACCCTGAGGCTCAGTGGTCAGCGCTTTGGATGGGAATGTAGTCTGCGCCTGGAGACACCCCCCGCCCAGCCACGCATGTCAGGGTGCGCTGCTGACCATGCAACACCTGCAGACTCTGTTTGTGTGGTGGGAAGGGGTCAGCACCCTGAGGCCCTGGGTAGACGGATGTCCCTCCGAGCTTCTGCCGAGAGTGGAGCTGGCCCAGCTGGCCCTTGCTTAGTCTTGACAGAGCATGCCACTGAACCTCAGTCTCTTCCTCCCACAGAAGGTGAACGGGCTTTGCCATCCATACCAAAGTAAGTGCCGCTGTGTGTCTGTGTGTGTGTCTGTATATCTCTGTGTTTGTGTCTCTGTGTGTCTCTGTTGGTGTCTGTGTGTATATCTCTGTGTGTATGTGTGTCTCATGTCTGTGCCTGTGTGTGTCAGTGTCTGTGTCTGTTTCTCTGTATGCTGTTTGTGTTTGTCTATGTATGTTTGTGTTTCTCTTTGTGTGTATTTGTCTCTCTGTGTGTGTCTAGTGTGTCTATATATCTGTGTGTACCTGTGTGTGAGTCCGTCTGGGGGGTTCCCATTGGCAGCTATCGGGAGTGTTCTGCTACCCACATCCCATGTGCTAGAGATATGTCAGGGAACTGCCTAGCACATGTTTCCTGGAAGAAGCAAGTAAGTCTTCAGTCACGTCAGGGAGCTGAGCACGCAGTCCCAGTGATGAGACCCTGCATAAGCCCAGCGGGACTGTCACAGTCCAGGCGGTAGAAGCGTTAGCAGGGTGGTATCGGCTCTCGGGACCCTTGCATGGCCCTTCCCGTCCTGCGTCCCCCTGGCTCCATATCCTGCACACTCCCGGCCAGTCTGGCCACTTATACTCCTCCTCCTCCCCAGCCATCTCCGGGCAGAGTCTCCCACTGACGGCCGGTGCCTCCAGCCGCAGGACGGTGGTGGGGTGTGAAGGCCCTGGGGAAAGGAAGAGGCGCCCTCGTTGCCCTGAAGCCACCGGAGGGTCAGTCTCAGGATACTCGTGACCTCGCAGCACTGGTGCCCAGTTGCCCCTGCCCTCAAACTCAGCGGGGCTACCCAGGGGGCTCGGGCAGTTGCATAATGGGAGCACAGAGCTTCCCCCACTGCCACCAGCAAGCCTGGGGGATGAACACAGACCCTGCTCAGAATAAGCCGGGCAGCCTTAGGGGTCTGCAGACCCGGCTTGGCGCCTTCTGCCCACTGCCCCCAGGGGTGACAGGTGGGTGGGTGGGCTGGGGCGAGGGGGCTGGGGGGAAGGGGAGACACTGGGCTCTGGAGCGTGTGCCTGAAGCCACAGGTGCTGTTCAGGGTGCTGGCCACAGAAGGCAGGCTGACTTCCCCAGCTCGGTCCAGCCCTGCTGGGGGCCCGTGAGTGAAACTGCTCTCAGTGCTCCCAGAGAAACGCCGAGTGTCTGGATGGGTGTTCTGGCGTCGGAAGCACCCACATGACTGGTGTCCCCACACTGAAGGGCCTCGTTTCCAGTGTCCTTAAAATCCTGAGCCGGTGACCGCATCTACTCTGTGCGTCTCCATCGAGTGCAGGGGGCATGTGCCTCATCCTGCTCCCCGGGGAGGCTGCTGATGTTTTGTTGGGGCCGTGGCACCTGGTGGTGCTCAGCGGCTGCTCTGGGCTCTGCTCTTGGGCCACTCTTGGCAGAGGCGAGGGAACTGTATGGGGTACTGGGGAGCGAAACTTGAGGCAAGACCAGTCCGGCCCCTGACCAGGCCAGCTGCATAGACATTGGCTCTTGGGTTTCCTCTGAAGTTCCTGCCCCCAACCCCAGCTTGTCTGAGTTATCGCTGCCCAGTGGCCCATGACTGGGGGGAGTCTTTGTTGGTTTACCTCCGGAAGCGGGCTCTCTGGTGTTGTCCTGCAGTGCTGTGGCCAGGCACGCCTCCACATCCTGTACCTCTGTTGCAGGTTGGCCAACAGCGAGAAGCAGGGTGTGCGGCCACACGCCGTCTCCGTGTCAGGTAAGGCCCACCCGCCTCCCCAAGGAAGAGCACTGTGTCCGCTTCTGGTATGTGAGTCCAGCTCTCTGTCCCCGAGTCTGCGTGACCCTCTGTCAGTCCCTGGCTATGGCCCTGGCCAGGTGTGTGGCATATGTCTGTACGGTTCCCGGAGTCCCGGTCACTCAGTCTTAATGTCCTGTCAGCTGTAGAGTGTTGGTCCTCTCCAGCACCCAGTGTCATGTGCCTGACTGTCCAGAACCACCATGCACTCAGTGTTCTCAGGGATCAGGCTCTGCAGGCGTCTGTCCCCACCAGCACCTCTGTGTTCATGGTTAACGCTGTGGCAGGTGGGGATGCTGCTCTCCACCCATGTTTTCCCACGGAAACACGATGGGACGTCGGGGCTGGGGCTGTGTCCCCATGTGACAGCCCTGGGCTCCAAACCTGACCCTTGCCCAGCCAGCACCTCCCTGTGGCCAGCTTTCATCTCCCTTTGTGGAAATGACTGTCTCTCTCCACACTCTGGAGGAGTCACCTCGGCAGAACCATGCTTGTGGCGGCTGACTGGGGGGCTGGATGTGTGCAGGTGCGGCTGCGGGAGTCTCTTGAGTTCCCGGGTAGCACTGCTCTGCCGTGTTCCCCGAGTGGGTGAGACCCCACGGCAGCGGCCCCTGGCGGGGGACAGGTTTCCTGGAGGACGCTGAGTGGTTTCTTCTGAAAAGGGCTCTGGACACCAGGTCAGTTCGGGCTGCTCTGCTTGAATGGACAGTCCATGACCAAGCTGCTTCCGGCCTGGCCTGGAGCATTCTGCAGCGCTGAACAAGGCTCAGCCTCTCCCTCATCCCCTGGCCGCTCTGTGCTGGGGATATGGGCAGTCCTGCAGGGATGGCTCACCTGATGAAGAGCAGGTCTCTGAGCACCCACGTGAGAGCACGGGCGGGGTCGGTCAACGAAGGTCTCAGCAGGGTGTTCTAGAGTGTTCTCGGGCACTCTAGAACCCGTGTAGACTGCCTCTGCTCCCACCCACACTGCCCCTCCCAGCCACATTCCCTGCAGGCTCTCGGGTGCTCCCTGCTCTGAGCCCAGAGGTGCTGCCACCCTCTTACTTAAGGTGTGGGCAGCCTTCCGGGCAAGAGCCTGAGGTGGTCCTCTGTCCAGTGCTGATCTGTGCCTGCAAGCCTCCATCCCCTTCCCTCCTTCAGACTTGACCCCCCAACATCAGCAGTGGCCAGCAGTTTGCTGGGGACTGTGGGCAGCTGCTGGCATTCCTGCAGGGCCCCTGACCATCCCTAACTGCCTGCCTCCCATTGCACCTGAATCTCCAGTGTGGTGTTCGCCAGCTATGTGACCACCCACCCCGGAGCCCTGCAGAAGTCCCCCCACCCCTGGGACAGTGATCACATGGCAGGACCCAGTGTGGTCTGCAGCCGCCAGACTGATAGAAGGGCAGGGGCCAGGAGTGCTGTGGCAGTGTGTGGGCGGTGGGGTCAGGATTTATATCCAGAGCAGGCCCAGCGCCTACAGGAAACTGCACCGCAGTTAGGGCCCTGGGTGAGCCCCGCAGCCCCACAAGGCTCCTCCTCCCCATAACAGATGCACAGGAAGAGACTTGGAAGCAACCCTCCTGGCCATGCGGCTCTAGGGCCACCCTGACCTTGAGGCACAGAGCCTTTCCCTGCACCCCGAGGCATGGAGCAGTACTTCGGCAGTGCAGACAGGGGGTTCAGGCCGACCCCATTTCCTTTGATTCCTGCCAAGTGCTTCCTTGATATTCTGAACAGGGCAGGTGCTGCCACCTCCTGGAAGCCTTCCCTGACCACTCCTGCTCTCCTCTGTGGCTCTCATCCCAGATGGTAGGGAAGGACTGTAGAGACCCTTGTCCACCAGCCTGTGTGCTGTATCAGGCCTGGGACCTAAGCACTCAGTGATAGCTCTCCACGGAGCTGCTGGATGCCCGAGCAAAGCAGGAGGATGAGCTGGCTTGATGGGGTCTGGGCCGTGGGAACAGAGAAAAGGTCGACTACTCTGAGCTGCAGGGGTTTGGCTGGCCTGATGCTCTCCCACGCCCTCCGGAAGCTCCTGCTCAGGGGAGGGCTGTGCTGTCCCGAGGCCCCAGAGTTGAGCGTGCGTGGCTATGGGCGTGGGGCCCGTCTGCTCCCTCTTACGCACAGCCCTGCTTTGATCTCCATCCTTCCCGGACCTTGGAAAGAGAGCTGCAGGCTTGATGGGCCTTTGCTGGGCCACGTCTCAGTGAGGTGTTCAGACAAGTCAGTGGAAAGTGAGGCGTCCACCCTGGCAGGGCCCACAGAACCACTCCTGCATATGTGCTCCCAAGACCAGGGACCACTGCGCAGTGGGCTCTGTTAGTGCTCATGGGAATTGCTCTCCAGTCCTGCTGAGGACCTGCACACTCTGGCCTGGCCACCCAGAACCCTGGGCAGTGCTGTTCGTTACCCCATGCTGGCCGCCTCTCAGCCGCTCATGCCCTCTGCCCCTGCTCCAGACTACACCGGTGTCAAATGCTGTCCTGTGGGTTCATGGTAGGACCTGTGTGCAAGGTCCTCACACCCGTGGATCTGCCATGGCCACCCCTGCCTGAACTCGTGTGTCTGCTCCTGGGACCCGGCAGAGCCCCAGGTGTGCCCGGGCCCGAGTCCCCCAGGGGCAGCTCAGACAGCTTCCACAAGCCACGGGCTGCCACCTGGTATGTGCTGACCATCACAGACATTCGGGTCACTTCCTGGGCCTCCTTTCCGCTCTGTTTGTAAAATCAGTGGTTGCCTTGTGTCACTGGCCCTATTCTCTCTTGCCGAAATTTCCTCTGTCCTGTGCTTATTTCTGCGGAAAGAGGACATAACCCTTTAAAATACCCGTGGTTTTGGACAACCCAGGCCAAGCATGGTAACGCAGGGCACCACTGACAGGTAAAAGCCTTGTAGTGGTGTGTGTGTGTTCGTGGCTGTACCTTTAAAATGTTGCAGACGTTTTCTTTCCTACTGAAATAATGTCTCTGTTTCTCTCTCCCCTCCTGCGTCTCTGTGAAGGAATCACTCACTGCCAGCACAGAGCTAAGAGGGCTAGGCGCTTCTTCCCCCTGGTCTTCTGCTCCCACGAGCCTCCTTCCGCCGGTACTGCTCCTTTCTGCACAGGCTTACTGGCCAGGCTGTGCCCCGGCGCCTGCAGCCTGCCCGCCCGCTGCCTGGCTGATGCCCCTTGGGGCCGCGCTCCTGCTGCCCATCGGCCTGTTTGTGGGTGCATGACGGGGCCTGGCGGTGGCTTCCCGCACTCCCCACGCAGCACGCAGTAACGGGGGAGGGAATCTGGGATGCTGCGGAGCAGAGGAGGCAGCCGGGGCTGTCGGGGAGCTCCCGGGAAAGCACAGAGACCCCGCCCCCATCCAGAGCCGCTTAGTGAGAGAAGAGTGGTGAGGGTGTGTCTACCCCATGGCTGTGTCCACCTTCCTCGGGGATGTGTGTAGAGCCAGGGCTTTGCTGAATGCGGGCGACTGGCCTGGCAGGCTCCCAGACACCTGGGACAGAGTGCGTGTGCACGCACATGCACAAGCACACACACGCACATAGGCACCCTGGAGCAGGGTTCGCACACACACACACACACACACACACACACACACACACAGAGGCACCCTGGGGCAGAGCACACACACACAGGCACCCTGGGGCAGGGCACACACACAGGCACTTTGGGCAGGGCACATATACACAGAAGCACTCTGGGGCAGCGTGCACACACACACACACACACACACACACACATATGCACACCGGTATCTTGGATCAGAGTGCACATGTGCACACACACAGGCACCCTAGGGCAGAGCACGCGCACGCACACGCGTGCACAGGCAGCTTGGAGCAGAGTGCAAGCTCGCCCTGCAGCTGTGCCCCGGGAACTCTAGTGGGGGGTGAGCCTCTGTTCCTGTCATTCTAATAGTGTTTTTCCTCTCTCCCTCCCTCTCCCTCTGTCCCCCTCTCTTTGCATGCCTCCTGGATCTGCAGATGAAATTAGTGGGGACGGTAATATTTATTTTCACCTTTGTGTTATGATGAGATGTTTGTTCATATGACTACAGTGCAGCTTTTCACCAGAGGCAAAATACAGTTAGGTCTCCCCAAACCAGTGTGACGAGAGAAAGAGCCAGTGTCCCACACAGCCCGGGGCTTTCTGGCCATGGTAGGAAAGTGACTGTCTCCTAGGATGTGGCTCCAAGTGTCCCTTGGCGAGACCAGTCCTTATGATGGTAGCAATGGGGTGGCGTCTGGCCCAGGCTGGGAGTCCCTGGCTGGGCTGCGGAGCAGGAGAGTGAGCCCACCCATGACTTCTAATGGGTCTTGGGGCTATCTCAGGGCTGTCACAGGGCTGGTGAAGACAAGCCTCAGATCTTCGGTGTCACACTGGAGTCTCTATGCCGCAGTGGTGGACTAAGGGACTCTGCCCTCCGCATGGTCCCGAGCACTGGGGGCCATTCCCTGGCAGTGCTGGTGTTGGTGGTAGGGCTTCCAGAGGCCTCTCACAGGCCAGCAGAAGTGCGGAAGCTGTTCCCAGGTTGCCGGTGTGGTTGGATTTGGGTTAGCCTCTCACGCTCACATCTTCATCCACTGCACGGTGAAAGAAAGACAGGCCAGGCCATTGCGGGCGAGGCTTTCCCATGATTGCCCCGTTAGGGTGCATTTTCCTCACATCTGCACCCAGATTCAACAGGACACATGCTGTGACCCCACGTGAGGCCTGAGCAGCACCCCCGGGCGGAGCCTCCTGCTTGAACTCAGGCATCAACAAACAAGGCCCAGGGGCTAAGGATGGGGTGCTCTGGGCTCTGGGACTGGCAGAGCCTCAGGACCTGGCCTCGGCTACTCCAGGCTGACCCCAGCAGTCAGCAGTGCTGAGCCGTAACACCTTGCTAGCCTGTCCGAGAAAATGCAAACAGCGTTTGCCATACAACGGTGTTTATTGTCAAGGCTGCGGAAGGGCTGTGAGGTGCCCTCCTTCCCCTCCTCACAGCCTGTGATCACCTCTGAGGTCACTCAGCATTGGGCCCCGAGACCTGCCTGAGTAGCGGGGAGCTGGCAGTAGCCTTGGGATCTCAGGGTCCAGTACTCAGGGTTGTCTGGGATCACAGTCTAGTGAGAGGCCCACATGGTGACTGCCCGATGGCCCCGGTGAGGTCGTGTGTGCCCCCACCCCACTCTGGCAGGGGGACCCGGGCTTCTCCCTCCTCACTGCCCTTCCTGTTGGGGCGCCGCCTCACGGGGAGACCCCCCAGGCCAAGTCTCGCATGGCGCAAGTGGACTCGGCAGGACTCCAGGCTCCATTACCACACTGGCTGTGGTGTCTCCCCAGCTCCATGTGCAGCTGCGTCCAGGGTAGTACCGGGAATCAGGTATCCCATGTTAGAACCCCACAGACTCGGTGGGAGAGAACCAAGGGGGAAGCTCAGTGCCAGCTGAGTAACCGTGTGTCACCCAGAGCCTCGTCCTCAGCCTGTGATGTCTGTCACCAGTCACTTGACCATTTTATACACCTCATACCAGCGTCTCCCAGGGCCCTACCTGACCTGGTGATCGCGTCATGTGGCTACCTGCATCAGTGATATAGAACTGTCATTGTCAGAACTGTCACTTATAGAACTGCCACTGGTTTTGTTTGTTTTGGCTTTTGGGCCACACCTGGCATTGTTCAGGATTACTTTGGGCTCTGCACTCAAGGATCAGTCTTGGTGGGCCCAGGAGACCTTATGGGATGCCAGGGATTGAACCCAGGTTGGCTGCGTGCCAGACAAACACCCTGTCCACTGTGCTGTATCACTCTGGCCCCTGGAACTGTCACTATTAAGAAATAGAGATGCCACGTGTCATCAGCAAAGCTGTCACTCTGTTGCTGTCTTGCTACATGTCACTCATTGTTCTGTTCCATGTGATCATCCATCGATATCATTGTTCTGACAGGGTCTGGGTTGCTCACATCGTTACCGTGTCACATAGCTTTTGTTGGGGCCATTAACCACCCGGGTCTTGTGCCACCCGACACCTGCACGAGGCCCCTGACCCCTTGTTGCACCATTAGCATCTGCTGCGTTTAGGACAGCTTTCGTGCTGGGGCCCACTCCTGGGATCCGCCTCCCATCTTGCTCTCTAGGACTGTGACCAGCTGCCCACTGTCTCAGGCTGGGCTTGAATGTTTCAGGGACCTTGTGGAGGCCAAATACTTGTCCCTGCCGTGCTGTGTTAGTCTGTAATGTGAAAGTTAGGGAAAATGTAGTAGCGAATCTATTTTAAGAATGCCTGGGAAAATGTGCTCAGCGTATACACGAGACCAGGTCTGTGGACTCACCACTGTGGATCGTGCTATGTAAGAAATACCCACAAGGATCTCTAAGCCCCTCATCTGCAACAGAATTTCTCTCAGATATCCAGAATCTACCTCAGAACCATCAGAAGATCCTGGATCCTCTATCCAGAACTGTTAGGAGATTCCTGGATCCTCTGTCCAGAACCATCAGGAGATTACTGGGTCCTCTACACAGAACCATCAGGAGAGATTCCCAGATCCTCCACCCAGGACCGCCAGGAGATTCCTGGATCCTCTACCCGGGACCATCAGAAGATTCCCAGGTCCTCTATCCAGGACTATCAGGAGAGATTCCCGGATTCCTCTGTCCTGGACCATCAAGAGGGATCTCAGTTCCTCTACCTAGGACCATCAGGAGATTCCCGGATCCTCTCTCAGAGACCATCAGGAGGGATCCCCAGATCCTCTACCCAGGACCATCACAAGATTCCTGTATCCTCTATCCAGGACCATCAGGAAGGATCCCCAGATCCTCTTCCCAGGACCATCAGGAGAGATTCCCGAATCCTCTACCCAGGACCATCATGAGAGATTCCTGGGTCCTCTACCCAGGACCATCAGGAGAGATTCCCAGATCCTCAACCCAGGACCATGAAGAGATTCCCGGATCCTCTACCCCGGACCATCAGGAGATTCCTGTGTCCTCTACCCAGAAACATCAGGAGAGATTCCCAGATCCTCAACCCAGGACCATGAAGAGATTCCCGGATCCTCTACCCCGGACCATCAGGAGATTCCTGTGTCCTCTACCCAGGACCATCAGGAGAGATTCCCAGATCCTCAACCCAGGACCATGAAGAGATTCCCGGATCCTCTACCCCGGACCATCAGGAGATTCCTGTGTCCTCTACCCAGGACCATGAAGAGATTCCCGGATCCTCTACCCCGGACCATCAGGAGATTCCTGTGTCTTCTTCCCAGAAACATCAGGAGAGATTCCCAGATCCTCAACCCAGGACCATGAAGAGATTCCCAGATCCTCTATCCCGGACCATCAGGAGATTCCTGTGTCCTCTACCCAGGACCATCAGGAGAGATTCCCAGATCCTCAACCCAGGACAATGAGGAGATTCCCGGATCCTCTACCCCGGACCATCAGGAGATTCCTGTGTCCTCTACCCAGAAACATCAGGAGAGATTCTTGGATCCTCTACCCCGGACCATCAGGAGATTCCTGTGTCCTCTACCCAGGACCATCAGGAGAGATTCCCAGATCCTCAACCCAGGACCATGAAGAGATTCCCGGATCCTCTACCCCGGACCATCAGGAGATTCCTGTGTCCTCTACCCAGAAACATCAGGAGAGATTCCCAGATCCTCAACCCAGGACCATGAAGAGATTCCCGGATCCTCTACCCCGGACCATCAGGAGATTCCTGTGTCCTCTACCCAGGACCATCAGGAGAGATTCCCAGATCCTCAACCCAGGACCATGAAGAGATTCCCGGATCCTCTACCCCGGACCATCAGGAGATTCCTGTGTCCTCTACCCAGGACCATGAAGAGATTCCCGGATCCTCTACCCCGGACCATCAGGAGATTCCTGTGTCTTCTTCCCAGAAACATCAGGAGAGATTCCCAGATCCTCAACCCAGGACCATGAAGAGATTCCCAGATCCTCTATCCCGGACCATCAGGAGATTCCTGTGTCCTCTACCCAGGACCATCAGGAGAGATTCCCAGATCCTCAACCCAGGACAATGAGGAGATTCCCGGATCCTCTACCCCGGACCATCAGGAGATTCCTGTGTCCTCTACCCAGAAACATCAGGAGAGATTCTTGGATCCTCTACCCCGGACCATCAGGAGATTCCTGTGTCCTCTACCCAGGACCATCAGGAGAGATTCCCAGATCCTCAACCCAGGACCATGAAGAGATTCCCGGATCCTCTACCCCGGACCATCAGGAGATTCCTGTGTCCTCTACCCCGGACCATCAGGAGAGATTCCTGGATCCTCTATCCAGGACCATCAGGAGAGATCCCCAGATCCTCTACCCAAGACCATCAGAAGATCCCCGGATCCTCTTCCCCTGGGCTGAGACTTTACACCAGGTGCTGTTTGCTTCAGGACCCTGGAGAGGCCTGACCAGAGACAGCCTCCTCTCTCTCGGCCCCTCAGGGAACCTTGGGAGTTCCAACATGGGTGTAGCTGCTCTAGGAAGGCAGCCTGTGTTGGGGTACAGTCCCTATCGTGTGCCATCAGGGTCTCCTGGGCCCCGGTCAGGTGTGGAAAACAGACTTTTCATGGTGTACGGGCAGCAGAGGGCCCGGGCGATGTTGAAGTGGTGGGTGGGCGGGGCTTGTCCCCTAAGGGGCCTGGGGGTACAGGGCTGCACCCGGGCAGCAGCAGCTTCGTCCCTGTTGAGGCCCTGCTCTTTCCAGCCACTTAATGCCCAGGAGCTCCGACTGTGCCTATGGATACTAGTCTCAAACAGGATCCTGTTGTGTCCTTCCCTAACTGCTGCCCTCCGTGGTTCCCTTCTGTCCCAAGTACCGTTCACAGAGCTCCTGTGACCCTCTGGCTCAGGAAACAGCTCTGCAGGGTGAGCAGGCACTGAATTGCACTTTCTATTACCCGTGAGCAGTGCTCGTGCAGACATGCCCTCAATGCACAGGCGTGAGCTGGACAGGGCGGGCCGATAGCAGGACTCCGGCATGCCGTGGCATGCGCCTGATATCTGTCTCCCGTCCTTGGAGCCTGATGGCGGCAAGAATGTCAGTGCTGTCCTTCCCCGTCAGACTCGCCTCTCTACGGCCGAGTGCTTCCCTGCCTGCAGGCATTAGCGTAAGCCCGAAGCCAGGCTGGCGGCACTGGGCCTGGACGGGGGTCAGCTCTGTTGCCAGAAGGGGCTAGTGGAACTTGTTTTGATCTGCTTTTTGTTGTTACTTAACTCGCTTTGGTAGCTGTCATATCCCCTCTTCAAATACATAAAGTTACAGGAGGTACTTGTGAGTACCTGAGGTTCTAGTGAATTTTCGGAAAAATCTGCAGTGTCCGGTCTCAGCTGTGCTGCTGAGTCCGATCCTGAATAGAATCTGAGCTGAGGTGGTGCTGGGCCTGCGGAGGGCAGAGCTGTGGGCTGCGGGTCGGGAGGAGGCCTGTGTTGGAGTCAGATGTGGTGGGTGGGGCGCTCTGGTCTGAGGGGCTGTCGGGCGGGACGTCAGGCTCCTCTGGACAGACTCGTGCTGGGCAGAGACGGAGTGGCGGTGTCTCAGGACTGTCCGAAGAGTAGGCATTTAACAAAGGTCGTTTTGCCTTTTCAAGTTATCTTAGAGGCCGGGGGTGAAGTATTTAACCTCTCCCGACACGATCTGCTCCTTTCCTCCAGAAACGGACGATTATGCCGAGATCATAGACGAAGAGGAGACGTACACCATGCCCTCAAGTAAGAGCCTCTGCTCGCTCACAGCTGTGGGTGCTTCTGGCCTCTTAAAACTGCTTTCAATGCGTTGTGTGCACAACTAAATTGTTCTTTTCCTTCTTTAGAATTCTTTATTAGCGCCTAGAGCTCCCGCCATCTCTTGGTTCCAAGTGTTTGTGATCTTGTTTTCTAGCTCTGATAATGTCCTTAACATTTTGGCAGGGTTCGAGATCAGTGTCCGCATGCACATGTAGTCCACGGGGTGTGCAGTCGCTGACTTCATTTCCCCCTCAATGGGTTGTTCTTTACTGCCCCTGGGGAGCCCTCCCTGTTCCCTGGGATGAGGGTAGAGGAAGGCTGTGCCCTGCAGGTTCAGCATCTGAAAAAGCTTGGACTCCCCATTTGCCTGGTGGAATGGACTGTTCCCACTTGAATCAGAGAAGTCCTTTTGTTCTTTTTTTGTTTTTTGGCCCACACGTGGCAATATTCAGGGGTTACTCCTGGCTCTGCATACAGAAATTACTCCTGGTGGTGCTCAGGGGACCCTATGGAATACTGGGGATCAAGCCCGGGTCTGCTGCGTGCAAGACCAGCGCCCTCCCCCTCTGTACTGTCGTTCTAGCCCCAGTCCTTTGATTCTTGAAACGAGAAAGCACTCAGGGGAGACAGTGCTGTAAAGTGTACCAGAACGAGGCCCCGAGTTCGATGCTGGCCACCTGGCCACTGAGCACCACTGGTACGTCAGTCTGTGGCCCCATGTCATGGAACCAGCAGCCCACATGACCAGGCCATGAACTGTGGGAGAAAGAAAACGTTCAACCTCCCTTATAGATGGGCTCAGCTAAGACTCCCCCTGACTGCCTCAGAGCCCGGATTCCGTGCTGGGCTGGGGAGAGAGCTGGGGTTTGGTCAGCCCCAGGGAGTTCCAGCACCCCATGGCACCGCAGGGTGGCATAGGGCCTTGTCCTTCGGCCTCGCACTGGGCCGAGCCCCCAAGCAGGAGGGGACCTGGAACCCCCTCAATACCACTTGGGAGACCCAAAGGAAGAACAAGATGATTTCTGAAATGAATGAGAGGATAATTCACATTCCTTTCCTGAGGTGAACATATATGTGATGTCCGAGTTCAGGTCCGCCTGTGTGGCTGTGACTCAATGTGGAGGGGTCATCTGCAGGAGCTGAGACCGCATGTGCTTGTGTGTCTATGTGCGTGCGTGCGTGTGTGTGTGTGTGTGTGTGCGCGCGCTCATGTGAGACTTTCGGTAGCAATTAGGGAAATGTGTCTATTCAGACATGCATTTTGGTTAGCCTTATGTACATGACTACAGAAAGTCAGTTTGTGTATTTATTATTTACAGTTGATTAGTAAGTGTCTCACATGGCTGACTTTTGTGGTTTGTAGAACCACAAGAATAGGTTATTGTTTAGGGGTTTATGAAATAGAAATTACAAAGCATTGTTTGTTTGAACTTTGAATTCATATGGCAATGTTTGATTTTTACTTGTTTAGTCCTTGTCTGAATCCATGTTCATGGTTAAAATATTTAACAAAGTAAACATAGAAATGTGCTTTCCAAGTTTGTTGCTGTTTACTTACTTGCTTCCAGCTGTTCTAAGAGAGGTCTTCAATTTTTTTCTCTTTTAATTGCAATACAGAAAGCTATGGAATAGATGAAGGTAACAGGACTCCTTTAAAATACTGCATTTGCTTGCATTGCAACCTGTGGAATGATATGGGGTGTTTCTGTTTTCAGTTAACTTTTATTTTTAAACTGTTTTCATTGGTTTACTCATGCTGTTAAATCAATGGAACTTACTGGCTAAAGTGATTTTAAAGAGGAAAATCACCGTGCACACTGGGACTGGCATCTCTGTCATTAGACAGGGTGAGAACCTGGGAAGGAGGGTATGTTTCAGCTCTTCCCTTCCCTGGTGATCGCAGCTGGCATGGGTCTGAGGGTGGGGGTGGGGCAGGAAATCAGGCTCCTCTGGGGCTGATCGGCTCAGAATTTAGTCGCTACTTCCTAGGGGATATTTTCTTGCCTTATGCCTCACCAGCGGATGGAACAATTGGTCTTCTACAAACCACTGCTAATGAAAACAGGAATTAATTTGAGGCATATGCTTTCAAAAATAAAAAATGCTTGTAATGAATTGTGATCTGGTCGGCCTTGACTGCCAGTCCTCTGATTTTAGAATGAGTGTTTGGATCTGCCCTCTTTAAACTCTTTTAGCTCCATAAATAATCCAGAGACTAAGACCGTGATGGAGAAGTGGAAACTGGACTGTGAGGCACAGCGTCTCCGGACATGGCCTGCTGCCGCCCTTTGACGGATGACTGGTTTTCACCTCCATGTATTAATACTTGAACTAATAGCATTTATTAATTGAGCATGTCCTTTAATATTTGGAGAACTTATTTAGAAAAACATCAAGCAGATAAAACCTTAAACATTCAAACACATGGAAAGCTTTGCCTCTGGTAAAATGCTTCCTCTTCATAGTTCAAACAGCGCTTAACAGTAACGTTAGTCTGATACTGTTTGAGAGGGTCCCACTCTGTCCTGACGTTGCTTAGAGAGCCGTGACTCTGATGAAATGTTCTCCTGTGGGTGGTAATGAAAGGAAAAGTATTGAATGTTGTGTTCATCTGGAATGTTCGCTTCAGTGTTTTTGATGTGTGGGTCCTGTTTCGCAGCCAGGGATTATGAGATTCAGAGAGAAAGAATAGAACTTGGACGGTGTATTGGAGAAGGCCAGTTTGGAGATGTCCACCAAGGCGTTTACATGAGTCCAGTAAGTCCTGCGAGATGATGGGGGTTGGGGCGAAAGGCCAGATGGTGGATCCAGCCCCCGTCTGACTGTGTAGATCCAGGGTGAGCCCCTGACACACCCTGACACAGAACTCACTTGCAGAACTGCACACAATCTCACGTCCTTCCGGAACCCCCGCACTGCTGGGCAGTGCCACCCTACGAAACCGAGAATCAGACATCTGGACTCTGACCATCTGAGTGTAAATTGCCTCTCGATTGTCCTCACAGGTTTGGACAATTTCTGAGGTATTTTGCAGCTGACCTTCATAAAACTTGTTACAGATGTCACCGTACTTGGTACCTTCAGAATCCAAAGAGTAGCTTGGCTCGCTCCCAGGGGGCTGATCTGCCCATGCTCTTGATCGGTTTCTGTCATACGTCAGAGTTCCCAAGCAGAAACGAACAGACACCAGGGGCTTGGAGAGACAGGACAGCGGGGTGGGCGACTGCCTCGCTTGCAGCTTATTCCAGTTTGATACCAGACATCCTGGATGGTCCCTGAACCTTGCCAGAAGGGACCCCTTAGTGCAGAGCCAGGAGTGAGCCCTGGACACTGCCAGGTGTGACCTCAAAATCAAAAAGCCAAAACCAGACAAGAAATAGAGCGATAGCGGCTCCAAACGAGGGGAGCGTAGCCCCATTCCTGCTTCCTGCCTTTCTCGAGGAAGGCGGATGTGCCCCCATCAACCCGTAGATGCGCTCAGTGGCGCTGCTGAGCTGTGTGATTTCTCTCGGGGGAATGGGGTGGATGCCGATTCCCTCCCACTTCTGCATAGCCTGGTCCCTGAGTGCTCCCAGGAGTGACCCCTGGGCACTGCCTTGGGCACTGTCTCCAGGGCCCCAAACAAAAGAGAAAAATCTCTGCGCTTCAGAAAGACCCCAGGCTCAGGAAATACCACCAGAACTCGAGCATGTGCCTGGCAGGGTCTTCCCTGAGCTGCTGCCCCCCCCGCCCCCCACACACACACACAAGCACTGGGGAGGCCCGGCACATGGGAACAGAGAGAAGTCCTGCCTTTAGCGCACGGTCCATCCCTGCCTTACTTCCTGCTGCATTTGCAGGTGGACATGCCCTCGACCCTGCTGCCCTCGGTCACAGGGTCCCTTCAGGCCCAGGACCCCTCACTTCTGCTCCCAGTCCAGGTCCATGTGCTGGTGGCTCTGGACAGCTAGTACTGCCACAGACACCACAGGCTCCTCTGAGTGGCCCTTCTGAGGGGTTGCCTGTGAATGGAATTGCTGAGCTAAGGATCCCTGGCTGGCTGCCTTCTGGGAAAGGTCAGATGTTCCCAGTATCCATGGTGCCACCCACGTCTCATCCCCACCAGCTCCTGGAGCAGCTGGTTCAAACGCCATTGTAGAGTGATACGCACATTTCCCCCAAGGCCTTATCCTGTAGCCCCGAGAGTGAAGCTGGGCCCTCACCATGCGTTGGGGACAGGTGTCCGTGCCACACCTGACCAGTGCCGGGGTCTCTTTACCCAGTGGTGGCCCCAGGCAGTACTCCGGAAGCCGCATGCGGTGCTGGGGACTGGACCAGGGCTGGCCGCCTACTTAATCCCTGTGCTGTCTCTCCACACCAATTAGGTTTTGGGGATTTGGATTTTTGTGTTTGGGACACACCTGACCGACTCTGCTCAGGGGTCATTCCTGGTCATGCTCTGGGGACCATATATGGTACCAGGATTCAAACCAGGCTGAGTGAGAGACCAGGACAATACTTTCTGCCTGCTGTTTCACCCATGGCCTTGCTCGGGGCTCAGGTGACTTTCCTTCACGGGTACCGTGGAAAGTTCCCCCCTTTCCCAAGCTCACGAGCCGGCCTGAAAAGCAGGAGCATATTTTTGCATGAAGGAGCCCAGGATTTGGTCCCTGGGATCACTTACTACCTGGGGTGACAGGAAAGAGTCCTTCTAGGCATGCCTGTTAGTCTCTGTCCCCCGACTGACCCCTGTGCTCAAGCCTGGTCCTCTACTTCTGCATCTCACACATGCCACACCGCCCACATATACCACATGTATACAGACACACTGCATACATAAACAGACCTACACCACACACACACACACACCAGCCTGCCCCTTCCTGGCCACCCCCGCAGCCCAGTGTGTGCACATGCATCCCACACATGCGTGCCCTCTGGCCACCAGGGTAAGCCTCTTTCCCTGTGTGTAACTCTGTCCTTTCCCTCTCCAGGAGAACCCAGCACTGGCTGTCGCTATAAAGACATGTAAAAACTGTACTTCGGACAGCGTCAGAGAGAAGTTCCTGCAGGAAGCCTGTAAGTTCCCAGATATGTCTTTGGAGTTTGCTGTGTGGGAATCAGAACTGTGTAGAGCAGCGTGTCCTGCCTGCTGAGGCCCTGTCACCCCACTTGCCGGCTCTGGTGTATCTGGGGAGCTGTGGCTGCTGACATGGGCAGCAGTGACAGCATGACTCTTCCTTTACCCCCGCACTTGTGACTGGTAGGCGCTTTTGTGCTGGGCTGGCGTCCTTGGATCTGTGATTCCGGCCTGGTGCTGTGGGTCCAGTGAGGGAGCAAGATCGGGCAGTGCCGGCCCTTCTCTCTTGGTGCCCATGGCTCCCCAAGGCCTGTCCAGGCTGCTCATCCTTCCCCTGATGTGGACTCGGGGTCCGGTCTGCCCACACATTCTCCCCCTCCCGCTCTTGCTTCAGCAACCCCCAAATCCCCCATCCCCGTCGGAGAAGCCATTGCTGACCCTGTAGGTGAAGGGTACTCAATCTCGGACCCGTCTTCCCAGCACCCGGCACGGTTCCACACCGGTTCCACACACGGTTCCGGCTGTCCAGGTGGCAGCTCATGTCCCTTGCAGGCACACAGGGCCCAGGCGACACATGGCCTGGCACTGCTGGGTACAGCCCTCACCCTCTCTAGGCCCCACGGAAGAGTCTGCAAAGAATTATTCTGGGCTCTTCGTCCAGTGTCCAACATGTCTGCTTGCTTCCTGCTCAAAGCCCCGGGCCTCGCCCTTGAAAGGTGCTCATGGATGCTGGTCATTAATCTTGGCCTTCCTGGTTCCAAGCATGCTGCATGACTGTTTGCCTTCTCCGGCAGCGCATCGGGCCAAGAGCCGGTGTGGTGGGTTCTGCCCTCAGCCCACAGTCGTCCTGCCCGCTCCCTGGGGCCTCTTGCGGGCAGTCACTATGTCTTTTTGACACACCCACATTTCAGATGCCTCCAAGCCTAACTGCCTAGTTATTTCCTCTGCTTCTGTAGTACCCGTGCACTCACAGAAGCAGTCCCAGAACTCTTCTCCTCCCCGTCAGGGTACCTCTCGCTCTCTGGTAGGGATACCGTGGTTCCACCCAGGTTCCACTGGGTCTTTCCTCTGTGTGCAGATGAGGGGAGGCTGCCCTCAGGGGCCAACCCATTGTCTTCTGGAGCTCAGCTCTGTGGCTGGACTCTGTTGACGCCAGCCTGGCTGCAGGGGCAGGTACTGTGAGACCTGGGCCTCTGAGCACCAAGCTTTGAGGCCGCCTCCCCTCACCCGCTCACTTTTCAGCAGGGCGGGTGCTGTGACTCTCTCCTGTGAGCCAGGAGTGGGCACACCCACAGCCACGGCCCCATGTTGCCTCCGTGGAACACCAGAGAAGGAACGCCGTTAGTCCTGCTCTTGGTGAGTGGAGGGAAAGTGCAGGTCAGGGTCACAGAGGCCAAGATCACCATACATAGCGCAGGCACGTAGGCCCTTGGTCAGTTAAAGGGCCAGCTTCCCACAAAAACCCAGGGTTGAGAGGCGACTGAGGACTGGGTAAGGCGACTGCGCGAAGGTGGAGTGTACTGGCTAGGTGTTGGTGGCCAACAGGCGGCGGCACCCCCACGCCCGCCCTGTGCATGGTGTAGACTGGGCGTATGCCATCCCATGGAAAAACCTTCTCAGCACTAAAGAAGCTGAGGATTATGTGGAGTTGTTTAGTCTTGAGGAGGCATGCCAGTCAGAAAAAAAAAAACAGAGCTTTTCAAAGGGCCGACACGGAAGCAGATGTTGTAAACCATTCCGACAGCATGCGCTGCAGAAAGCCCAGTCAGTATCAAAGAGCAAGCCAGGAAGTCCCCAGCTGCGCCCAGAGAGCACAGAGCGGGGTGGAAAGCCCTATCCGAGCCGGGACCGAAGCCTCAGACGGGAGTCGCCGCCCATCAGCCTCAGCCCTGAAAACAATTAGTCCACGAATTGTGCTCCCGACAGTGACAGTTTCATAGCTAGCAATTAATAATTTCTGGTTCTCAGAACTTGGAAGTTACAAAATATTTTGGAAACGGTGAAAAAGAACGGTGGCTCAGTGAAGATTGGAGACAGAGGCACACGCAGTGTGGTCTCTGCTTCCTTCTAAGTCTTGCCCAGCTTTTACTGGCAGCATCTAGATACGTGGTTTTATAACATGTTAGTGACGTAAAAAGACTTGGTGGAATTATTTTCATGTTCTTGGTTGGCATAATCTCAACTCTTTACCAGTCCCCTAAATTAAAAAACATCCTAGGGCTGGAGATACAGTACAGCAAGTAACCAAAAAATGAAAAGAAAGAAGGAGAATCCATTTTAATAGCATGGCATCAGGAGCCTTGGTCTGATTTGGGGTTTGGACTCTCTCAGCTGAGCACGTGCTGAGGCCTGCATTCCTACTGGTCAGTTCTGTCAAGTCGTTCCTGTGTTGGGCATTCTTGGCAGCTGCCCTGTGCCTTGGTGATCCAAGCATTGTAAAAGGGGCCCCTTAGCATTGGCGTTAGAAATGACACTCACACACCAGCATGTGTGGGGCAGGTATGGTGAGGGGTTGGCCTTCTGGATTGTCCTGGCGAAGGTGGTCACATTTGTGGCAGCTGTCCGCATGAGTGGGGCAGGGGACTGGCCTGAGCTGAGGCCACTTGACCACAGCATGTTACCACTTGCGGTTTTGTTGCTCGACGTCACTGTGGCACCACCACCACCAGTGTGCCCCCAACCTCCCCCGGTGTCCCGTGTCAAGGCCGACCATCTCTCATCCTCCCTAACAGCCTGAGGATCTGTCCTCCCTACTATCCCCATTCTGTTTCGTGCCTTCCTCCCTCTAACTGCACTTGGCCTATCCTACCACGTGGGGCTCGGGGCATGTCCCTGCCCAGCTCTGCATGTGGGACTCTGGGCGTGTCCCTGTCCAGCTCTGCGTGTGGTGCTCCGGGTGTGTCCCTTACACGCTCTGTGTATGGGACTTGGGTGCTTGTCCCTTCCAAGCTCTGTGTGTGGGACTCGGTGCGTGTCCCTGCCCAGCTCTGTGTGTGAGGACGTGTGTCTGTCCACTTCTTTGTCATGTGTTCCACGCTGCAGTGGCATAAGTGTGGCAGCTTTCTGACTCTACATTTTGCATTTGGAAGCTGAGGCAGAGACGTTGGGTCATTGCTTCTGTGGGCAATGTGTTTTTTCATCTGATATTTCTCTCACCATTGTCTCTGGAGGCTGACAGGCACATCCCCCCACACAGCATGAGGCGTCATTCCCACACTCTTCCAGTCACTGACTGCAGGCCGTTGCCACCTCACTGCCCTCAGTGGGCACCTTTCACCAGAACCTGTACTCCGCAGTATAGGCGGGGGACTGGGACTCGTGGGGAGGCACCAGTGTCAGTCCTACTCAGGATCCAACCCCCAGAGGGTCTCCACACCAGCTCGCACTCTGCTCTCAGTGCTTGCTCCGGGCTGCCTGCCCTGGGGCGATTCTCCCCCAAGGCCATATCTCAGGAAGGACCTGTCATCCAGCCCTGCTGGGCTTCTCGGGAGAATCCAGGGACCCTGTGCCCCTCTACCCCCAGTCAGTTCTGAGAACTGGGGACCCGGTGCCCCTTCTCCCTGGGTTGGTCCCAAGAACCAGGGACCCAATCCCCCTTGCTTACCGGTGTCTTTTCCCTGGACAATGGCTGCAGCTCCCTCAGGTGCTGCCCGCGGCCTGGCCTCTGCCCTGGGAGCATCTTCAGTGAGTTCCCCAATGTGACTGTGCGCCCCATTTGCCTACAGTGACCATGCGGCAGTTCGACCACCCTCACATTGTGAAGCTGATTGGCGTTATCACTGAGAACCCCGTGTGGATCATCATGGAGCTGTGCACGCTTGGAGAGGTATGTGCCCGCCGGCTGCCACGCTGGTCCCCTCTCCCCGGCTGCTGCCCGGGGATGCTGCATTAGCTGCGGGTTCCTGCATCTGTGGGACCAGTGACAGACACGTGTGAGCGTGCTGCAGAGACGGTGCGGGGCATTCAGCCATGAGCCGAGCCCTGGTACCACGGCACATGGCCCAAGAGCCCCTGCGTTGTGCTGAGGCGCTGTAAGAGCTCTTGGGACAGAATCCGAGTCCTCTGCGCATGCATCTTCTCCCTCATCCAAGGACGAGTGCTGCTCACTCCTCCTCCCTCCCTCCATCCTGGCCAGGCCTCATCCGGGAGTTGTTTCCAGAGTCTGCACTTGCCTGTTTGGCCGTCTGAAGCAGTCGACACATTTTACACCTCCCTCCCTTCTTTAAGGGCACCCAACACTGCTCGGCTCTTTCCAAGCGGGAGAATTTCTGCGGTTGGGGTCCTTTTCCTTCAGGGAAGTACCGCCCCACCCTCCTTTGCAGGACATCCCCTCCCCAACACACACACACACACACACACACGCATACACACACGCACGCTTGCACAGCCACACGGCTCTCTCCTCTGCCCTGGGTGCTGGAGTGTGTGTGGGGGGGGGTGTGCCCCACTGGCCCCCCTGTGGCTGAATGGGCTCCACATGTATTTTTTTATCCCCAGCTCTCTTCTGCTTTTACTTTTGGGAACTTTGCTGATCATTTATTTATTTACTTATTTTCAGTCTTTGGCCCACGTGTCTGGGGGTTGCTCCTTTGGGGCCAGGGGTCCTTAGGGTTCCAGCCTGTCCAGTTTGCACCAGTCCTGTGAGTCCTGTCCCCAACCCAGGAAGGTGCTTGCTTTCCTGGCTCTGCAAAGCTCCAGGGGCCGATGCTGTGGCGTCCCTGTCACTTCCCTCTGGTCTGTCTGCACTGAGCTGCTTCAGTCTGACCAAGGGTCAATTCATCTGGAGAGTGGTCTGGATGCCAGCCCGCAGCCTTTCATCTATGGGCACTTTCATCTATGGTGTGCCTCCCCGTTGCCCGTTCCCCAACTTCCATCCTTCACTCACAGTGCCCCGGCCCTCGGGGTGCACTGTTAGGACTGACACATCTGTCTGTCCTCCACCTGCTGGTCTGCGATGCTCTACTCAGTGTCTTGTTTTAAGCACATCTTTTCTGTTCTTTGCATACTTGCTGGAAAATCATGAGGATTTCAATCCTACAGTAGGATGAAAGATGCCAGCTAACCCTAACCTGAGCCAGCGTGTTCTGTTGCTTTGCTGAGTGAAGATTGAAGCCACTTTCATAAAAATATGCTTGGAAACTGTCGCTAAATCTTTTCCCCTGTTTTGTCTTGGGCGCTGTTCCAAAAGCTGAGGTCATTCCTGCAAGTGAGGAAGCACAGCCTGGCCCTGGCCTCTCTGATCCTGTATGCCTACCAGCTGAGCACAGCTCTCGCCTACCTGGAGAGCAAGAGATTCGTGCACAGGTGAGCACCCATGCTGGACAGGAGGCAGGCAGGCTGCCCCCAGTATGCTGCTGGCCCTGCTCCCCAACCCACCCACCAGAGGCAGCCAGTGTGTCCTGCTGCAGAGGCTGTGAGCCCGTGTGCAGTGTCCGAAACAGGCTGCCAGGCCTTGCCAGGGCCCCATGCTTCCTGCTAATTCCCAGTGGGAAGCAGGGCTCACATGTATGGGAGTGCAGGCCCCAGCTACCTATGCTAGCCCCTGTGTGTCTGCATATCCCCCCATGCAGCCCCCACTGCCCCAGCAGACTCAAGCACAGGCGTTCAGAGCTGGCTTCCTGCAGGGCTGTAGCTGGCTTCCTGCAGGGCTGTAGGCCCCTGCCACGTCTGTCTCCTCTCAGGCAGCTGGTGACGCAATGTTTAGACAAACACATAACTGTCCTGGTACCACAGAACACGCTCTCGCCGGCCAAAAGCAGCATCTCCCAGTTACTAAGTGAATGCCTGCACAGAGGCTCAGCACTTATGAATGTAAAGCAATGGGTTGTTTTTAGGGAAGGTTAGCCCGCAGGCATCACACGCAGGCTTCCGTGCAGGGTCAGCCCTCCCCCACCCCCCACCCCCCAAAACACACACACATACCTGGGCATCACACACAGGCTCTTCTGTGGGGTCAGTCCCGTGGGCATCACGTGCAGGCTCTCCTGTGGGGTCAGCCCCCCGGGCATCACACAGGCTCTCCTGCGGGGTCGGCCCCCCAGGCATCACACAGTCTCTCCTGTGGGGTCGGTCCCCCGGGCATCACGCGTGGGTTCTGCAGTCTGTTCCTGTGTGCCTTCACAGAGTGGAGTTCATGGATCTGTCTTCTTCACTCTCAAGTCTGTTGTCCCAAATTCCTCCTCACAGGGACATTGCTGCTCGGAATGTTCTGGTGTCCTCCAATGACTGTGTGAAATTAGGAGACTTTGGCTTGTCCCGCTACATGGAAGACAGCACGTACTACAAAGGTCAGAAGCCGGATGGGGCTCGGGGGCCCAGGTGGGCTCAGGTCCGTGAGGAATGTGCTGGGATGCTCGCGTCTCTCAAGGTAGAGGTGTAGCGTCACCTCTGCAGTCAGGGATCATCCTTGGAAAGGTGGCATCTGCCCAGGCTGGCACATCTCTCCAGAGCTGGCACAGCTGCAAGGCTTACAGGGAAGGAGGCAGCAGGGTCCTTGAATTTGACACCAGAACCTGGTATTTAAAAGGGAGGGTATTACATTGAGCTGCACTGAAGTTGAAATCATTTGTTTTGTAAAAGATCCTGATAAAAGAAGAAAACAGCATAAGCTGTAGCAAACCCAGCAAAGAACTAGTATTCACACTGCAGAAGATGTCTCCGGACTTTGAGAGTTGTTACCCAACCAGCAGAGATGCCAAGAGAGGCCCCACTGAGGCGGGCCACACATGCAGATATGCACAGAAGCTCTTGACAGCTCTAGCCACCGGGCACAGCAAGCTTGAGAACAGAGAGGGCCGGGGTGGGAGGCCCTGAGTTCACCTCCGGCGCCAGAACGCAAAATGGGGCCAGAGCCATGGGACAGTGGGGCAGCATTGGCCTTGCACGCGGCCCTCCCGGGTTCGATCCCTGAGCCCTGCCAGGAGTGATCTGAATACCGAGACAGGCGTAAGTCCTGAGAACCACCCAGTGTGGCCCAAAAGCCAGGGGAAAAACCAACAGCGTTTTGTAGATCATGAAAAATCTGCGCCTGCAGCTGTTGTCACTTCCCACCCCCAGCAGCCACGCCTTCGGCTCTTCCCAGAGCGGGAAAGTGTGTCCCCCAGCCTACACATGCTGCTCGCCTGGCGTCCTTGGCCATGAGACAGGACGCCCGGCGAGCAGACAGTCCAAGCACTTCGGAGCAGTGCTCGATGGATCAGTGCAAGAACTCAACATCAGGGGCCCAAAGAGATGGTCCAGTGGGTAGGGAGCTTGCCTTGCCCAGCTTTGATCCCTGGCACCCCATTGGGTCCGCTGAGCCCTACCAGATGTGGCCCCAAAAACCAAATGGAGAACTTCACCCCGGAGTCCCATTGTCTGACTCTGACTGGGATCTGTATGTGTGAGGACCGAGGTCTCTCCCCTAGTCTCTTCCTTTTGCCAGCCCTGTTATGTTGGTGTCAGGCCACACTGCCCCTCAGGGCATGGCTGGAGCCCATATCAGTTCATGGTCCTCTCCTGGGGCTGCAGGACGGGCTGTGTAACCCAGGACAGGGCGCTGGAGGCATAGTTGCTGTGGCTGCTCCTCCTGGGGGCCAGACACGGCTCCGCTCGTTCTTTTCTGCACCCGCGTGAGCGCAGGTTACAGACAGAGCTCATTTCTGTGTGTTGTACGCTGTAACTCAGGACTTGGCTCTCAGAGCCTCAGCCTGTGACCAGAGTGGCTCTGCCGGTGGCCCGTGTCGGGGACCCCTGAGACTGCTCCTTAGCTTGTTTAATTAGTCGTTTCTTTCCAGAGCGACCAAGGCAGCTTTTTCTGCTGTTTGTTGTGTTAGTATTAGGCTGGGGGCCATGCTGAGCCTCTTGCTCTGACGATAGGTCTCACCAGTTCAAGTCCTGGGGGTCCAGGAAGGATCTGAAGTGTGAGGGGCTCTGATACACATAGCATTTGGGGTTCAGAGGGGCGGCGGAGGGCCGCTGAGGTGCTCTCCTTCATGGGCCCGAGGCGTGGGGCTGGTGGCCTGTGGTGAGGGTCTTCTGAGAGCTCTCTTTGTGGAACTGGGGCTGCTGGCGTGCTTGAGTTCGCAGTGGGGCATCCCTGCCATCCATGCGACTCGTCTCCCCCCACACATACTCCTCTCAAAGCCTTGGCAGCCACATCCCTGGGACCCTGAACTGCCTCCCTCTGTTCTTCCTGTGTCTTCACTCTGCCTCCCTCTGTGTCTTCGGTCTGCGGAACAGCCTCCCCGAGTAGGGGCTGGTCTGACCTTTGGGCGCCCCCCAACTCTGTGCAGCCCGTGGGGAAACAGGGCCCAGGGCCTGACCCTGCAGAAGGGGGACTCCGGGAAGCACTGCCCAGGTCCTACGTAGGGAATCTCTCCCCAAGGACACTGGCCATGTGAGTCTCACCCCAACTGTGGGTCTCACCTGACTGTGGGTCTTACCCGACTGTGGATCTCACCCTGATTGTGGGTCTCACCCGACAGTGGGTCTCTGACAGGACAGGTAGATTGACTTTCTCCCACCATTCTTGTAGCTTCCAAGGGGAAACTGCCTATTAAATGGATGGCTCCCGAGTCCATCAACTTCCGGCGCTTCACCTCGGCCAGTGACGTGTGGATGTTTGGTGAGTATCTGAGACTTTCTGTGGGTGTCTTCCTGCTCTTCATTGTCTCTGCATAGAGCGGGCTGTGGCTGTCCTGGTGCTCTTGTTCCTTGATGCTGGTGCGAGGATGCATCTATGCTAGGCACAGAACCTTCTGGAAGGTTCCGGCTGTCGCTGCTCTTATTCCTGTTTCTTGTGGGAAGACACTCTTCTGCTGCTCCTTGAGAGCGCCCTGCCCCCTCCTCCCAGCAGCCCCATCTCCAAGTGTCGCTCTGGCCTGCAGCTCTCTCAGCCCCTTCCTGTCTCAGAGTTCCACGACTGACCCTTGGTCATCATTGTCTTCTGTCACTGCTCTGGTGTCTCACTCTCTGTCCCTGTCCCTGCCCCGGACTACAAGCCTCCAGCTTGCCCACTGCCGCCCCTTGCCCCGATGCCCCTCTTCCTTGTTCTCTGTCCCCCGTCTTTCTCTTCTCCATCTGGGGGTGCCCTGGGGAGGCAAGGCTGCCTTCGCCCGCCTGCACTCCCTGTGTTGGTCTCATGAGCGGGCCTGTGTGCTGGGTGTGGACTCGGTGTCGCTGCCTTTCAGACGCCACGCAGCCACGTCTGTCTTGTTTCCTGTCCACAGCTATGGGGCTCCCTGTTTCTTGCCCTGATTGCTGCTAAGTTAGGAACTTTCCAGTAGAACAGGAGTCAGGAACTTGGCCCAGGAAGACTTGGCCCCGAGGCCCCGGGGCCTGTGTGCTGGGTGGGCCACAGAGTAGGTGCCCCCCGAAGGGAGCTCTCATCTCCTGATAGGGCTGCACCGGGGAACCAGGCCTTTGTTCCCGTCAGTGCTCCTTTGTTGGGTTTTGACAAGGCCGTACCCACTGGTGTGGCATGGGTTATAGCTACCAGGGCCTTGTCTGACCCTTCAACCATCTCCCTGATCTTGGTGTGTTACTCTCATATTGATCAGTGATGTTTAATAGCTTTTCAGTCAGAACAAACAAGAGTTGAAGAGTGATGAAGGAATATGTCACAATTTCATTGGCATTCACCCTTTTCTTGGTCTTGTAAAAAATATGTTTGAGATCTTCTCCCAGAGAAGTCCAGGACAGCCTTTTGGGACCCATGGCTGGTCCTTGCATCGCTAGTCCAGCCTGGTCAGGGATTGCCTGGAGCATCATTCATCCGCCACTAGTGTTGGCATAGAAAGGTTGAAACCAACCTGCTGATCTGCCAGCCACCGTGGTGCTAACTGCGGTGCATGAATGGTGTGCAGGGAGGTGCTGCCCGCAGGTGTTGAGGAGCTGCCCTGGGGTGTCCCCTGGCTTGGAGGGCATTTCTCTTTGGCTTCGGGTCAGCTGCTGTGGTCAGCACAGGGATGAACAGATGAAGGGAGTGAAAGACACCTTCGAGTCCAGTGTTTTGTGAGCTGCTTCATTGGACCTATGGCAGCTGCCGGGTCCATTCTAGGCACATGAAATTCCATTAGATGGGCAAAGCTGACCCACGGTGGGTGGAACTGTCCTATTGTGGGCGGGGTTTTTCCACGGTGCGCGGAGCTGTTCTATTGTGAGTGGAGCCCTCCAACCGCAGGCCGAGCTTTCCCACGGTGGGCGGGGTTTCCTGACCTACCGTGAGCAGAGCTGTTGTATTGTGGGTGGTGCTCTCCTGTGGGTACATCTATCCCTGTGTGGGGTGGGGCTGTCCCCCCTGTGGGTGGAGCTCTCCCACCGGAACAGTGCACACTCTATGCTGCTTCATTTGCTGGCTTGCATCGCCTGACACTGGCGCTCTTGTGCCAGCTCTGCCCGTGTGCCGCGTCCCAGGAGCAACCCTCGTGCTGATTCACTGTTTTCATCCCACCTCACAGGTGTGTGTATGTGGGAGATTCTCATGCATGGTGTGAAGCCTTTTCAAGGAGTGAAGAACAATGATGTGATCGGGCGGATTGAGAATGGGGAAAGATTACCAATGCCTCCAAATTGCCCTCCCACCCTCTACAGCCTTATGACGAAGTGCTGGGCCTATGACCCCAGCAGGCGGCCCCGGTTCACTGAGCTCAAAGCTCAGCTCAGGTAGGAGTGGGGAGTGGGCCCGGCTGGGGTTGGGGCACACAGCGCAGCTCAGGCCCACACGCACTCACTGCTTCCTGCCTTGCTGGTGTCCCAAGTGTAGGCACTCTGCTCAGATCCCTGCCCTGGGTTTCTGACCCACTTGGCTGCAGAGACCCCCTCCTCCTCCTCCTCCTCCTCCTCCTCCTCCTCCCCCCCTTCCCTCCTCGTCTGCCCATCCTGTGGTGGTTCCCACTCTCCTCGTGTTCTCTGCCCACATGCAACCTTTTCTCTCCCAGACATGCCACTGCTGCTCTGGTGCTTTCCTTGTGCTGCTGAACACGCCCTGGGGCCTTCCTACAGCCATGGCGCAGCTCTTGTCAGCCTCTCCTGCATGCATCGGGGAGCTGTTAGGTGTTAGACTTCAGGCCCCCTGCCACCTGGCCTGGGTCTCTGCCGTGTGCCTGTCAGCAGCTGGGTGCCAGGCTCTGGGCAGGCATCTCTGAGCGGCCCTTGAAACCCGCCGGTCCCAGCATGAAGTGGGTGCTCTCGGGGTGCTTGTGACCTGGGTGTGTCCGGATCAAGGATATACACTTGAGTAGGCATGTTTGAATTCTCTCCCTGTGAATGGGCCGCGGAGCAGCCTGCTGGGGGCTGTGTCACAGGTTTCAGCGGGGGTGCTTGCTGAGTGAGGAGAGTATCGGGGAACGCTCCTGCCGACGGGAGCAGTAGGTAGGCCACCCAGTCAGCCGTCTCCTGGGCACAGCATGCTTGTGTCCACTGGGCCAACACTGAGTCCTGGACCTGGGGTGGCAAGGGGGCGCTCAGTAGTGAAGTCCCTCACGAGCATTGTGGCTTGGGCTCTTCCCTGGACCCCGACACTTGCCCATTGACAGGCATCGTGCTTTCTCCCATGGCTCCACATACACATGCACTTGACTTCTCGTGCAGCCTCCGTCCTGCCTCTTCGTGCCCCTGGTTCCTACTCTCGGCCATTCCTGGGGTCGCGTCTCCTAGCTCCCTCTCTCCCAGGTGCCATACTTGGGCTTTATCTCTCTGCATGGGGCCTTCGCGTCCACTCCGCCCCTCCGGGAAGCCAGGCGCCCTCCCTCTCATCTCCATCCTCTTCCTCCTAGGCTTCTCTCTTGTGCCCTCCTCTCTGCTGGGCCTTTAGCTGGCTGCTCATCCCACCTCTGAACAGGCAGCCACTGGCACAGAGGCTCCTGCAACGGCACAGTGACCCGTCCATCCCACTGGCACCTGGGCCATGCTGCCCCCTCCTCTCACTTGCTCGCATCTGCTCCTGGCTCTCGGCTTCTGCAGTGGCTCTGGGCACCCGGCTGCTGGGCCCCGCCCAAGCCCAGCGCGGGTTCTCGGTCGCTTGTGTTCAGCCCAGCACCACATCACCGAGCCTGGGAGCCGGGCGTGGTGCCCCCGGGGGCAGGATGACCAGAGCACTTTCCTTGCCCTCGAGGAGCTCACAGTCTAGTACGTCTCATCCCCTACTAGACTGAAGCTCCTTGAGGACAGGGATCGTCCTACTCACCTTTAGGGCTGAGCTGCCACAGGCCGTCCAGGACAGTCTGAGGGAGAAATAGACACACACACACACACACACCACCACCACCACCACCACCACCACCACCAACACCCCCAACACCCCACCCCCCACCCCCCCTACATGAGTCCAGGCAGCCAGAGTTTCCCTAACTCTGACTCAGTACATCTTTCCTTGTATCCGGTTAGAGCCGGTAACATCCTTGAATCATCTGGGCTTGCTTTTTGCCATTGTTAGGTGCATGTGTAGTCCGACCCCAGGTAGAGGGCCATGGCAGGCTTGCGAGGCTGGCTCCAGTGGACAGCACATTCCGTCTCTGCACCCTGGCCACCTGTGGGCAGGTGCAGGAGGCAGCTCATGTGCTTCGCCTGAGCTGAGGCCCTAGACGTGGTACCAGGCTTGCCAGGTATCCCTGTGGTCCCTTGAGCACTGCTTGAGGAGCACCCCGCACCCCCCATTAACATTTTAATAGCCTGATTGCTGGGCAACAGTGGATCCTGGTGATTCAGGTCCTTTGGCTGGGATCTTTAAAATCTCTTACACCTAAGGTTTGCAGAAGATTGGATGGTGCCTTCCCGTGACAGTCCAGCTGTGCCTCATCTCCTGCTTATCTGCCCCAAAAGGAAGTAGTGCTAGCTGACTGGGATCATGCATGCCGCCTGCCACGCCCATGCCTCAGCCAGCTGGGGAAAGTCACTTTCTGCTGGTCCTGGGCTGAGCCCTGAGGGCCTGGGCCTCCCCCGGCCTCTGAGTCAGCCAGGCCTGTCATTTCCGCTCTGTAGGAGGGGCTGGTTGCAGGAGAGCCTGGGATGGGCCTGCCCGAGTGCTCCCAAGTGCCCTTCTCTCTCCATCTGTCTCTGGTCAGGCCTGGCCTCACACTCAGGGCACCTTGCAGCAGTGCCCCCAGAACCCTTCCCCATTTGCCTCGGGGGGTCACTGCAGGTTCTGGAAGCCTCTTCTAGACAGAGGAGCTGGTGTCTACGTGAATACAGCTCGAGGCTTCATATCCTGACCCCTGTCGTCTTTAACTCTTTGTTGGTGTGAAAGGTAACCGATCTGTTGGCATGCCTGCCCACAGGACACAGGGCTCTTCGTTGTAAAAGCGCTCTTTCCCGCCCCCACATCTTGCCTGCCTGGCCCAGCACCCTTCCACCTCCTGGCAGGTGCTAGCATGCTCCATCCACACCATCCTCATACACGTCAGCCCTGTGGTTATCCGACCCCAAGCCTGCCCCAGCTCAGCTTCCCGAGACTGGCCTTGTGATGCCTGTAGCTCGAGAACCCATGGGGCCAAGGGAGACATCCTCATGGTACCATGATCCTCCCCTCCTGCGTGTTGACCCCATCCTCACCTGTGACCTGAGTGGCCGCTGAGGGCTCTGCCTGCCAGGGCGCTCTTTAGTCACGTGAAGCCTGTGGCATGTTTGTGGACAGACGGCCTCCTCCCTCTGTGTTGGGCGGCTAGTCACAACACCCAGATCCTGTGTATTGGCTGGGGAGATCTTTTGTGGGAGCACAGGCTTTACATATGGGACACCCCGGAGCCCTCGGGCACCGCCGGGAGCCACCGTGACCGCCATGCTGGGAGGGGCATCAGAGTACCAGTGTGTGTCACCAGCTGGGGCCTGCAGTGATAGGAGCCCGAAGATCTCTCTCCAGTACCACTGCCCCATAGCCCCCAGGTGTGAGGCACGCACATGTGCGCACCCACACACACACACACACACACACACACACACACACACATCTTGATTGGTCTCCTGTTTCAAAAAACAAAATCTCATCCGTTTTGCGGGCACTGTCCCTTGAGTACCCTCAGGTATCCTGTGTCCCTGGGGTGTGCTGTGTGTGGCAGGCACTATCCCCCATACACACCTGTATGCGGATAGTGTGGAACCATGAAGGTGGCCCACCCTCCACCTCAGCCTGGCTGCACGCCACCACGCTGCTCACCTCAGCCCAGCTTTGAGCAGCTGGTGACATGGTTTGTAGAGAAGGGGAAGGAGAAGCGTCTGCAGCTGGTTTACTACCAGCTGTTTGCCGTGTTTGCTGGGGAGACCCTGGCCATGCTCAGGTTTCTGTGCCAGCCGTGGAAGCCAGGGTCCCACAGACAGAGCCTGTGCCCCGGCCCTTGTAGCAGCAGGAGTGGGGAACGGTGTGTGGGTTCCCCGAAGGGCTCCGTGAGGTGAGTGTTAGGGGGCAGGGTGCTTCCCGCACTGCCCGGTCACTTTGTAGCTGCTTCCTGCTCAGGCGGCCCTGGGCTGCGCGGAGGCCGGAACACTCCCAGCTGCCGTTCTGCCTTATGACACCCTGTGCTGGCCCTGTCGCCCTATGGGACCGTCACTCTGCTCAGAGGCGCTGTATTCACGCTTGTGTCCCCTGCTCATGCTGCATCTAAGTATTGTGCTCATGTGAGGGAACCAGCTGTCTCAGACCCAGGTGACTTCAGGAGTCCCCCGGGAAGGGGTTGCTTGCGAGAGTCCAGGTCAGTGGTAGGCTGCTCAGGCGCCAGGAGCCTGATCTGCGCTGTGTGGCTTTGGGTGAGCACCTCAGCAACCTTTAAGGGCTGAGGAGGCCTGAGTATCTCTCAGGAGGCCAGAGCCACAGCAGAACTGCACAGGAGGGCAACTACCTCAGTCCCTGGCATCCCATATGGTCCCTTGAACCCACCAGCACTGATCCCTGAGCACCGCCGGAAGTGGCCAAAAAAAAAGAAAAAGCATCTTCCACACGGCCCATCAGGTGTGGGGTTTGAGGTCCCCCAGCCTGTGTCGTCTGTGCTGTGGAGAAGCAGCAAACAATGACCCCAAGTCAAGCGACAGCTTTTGTTGCCCAGACACCAGGAAGCCCGTGCCTCCTCACACTTCAGAAGTGGCTCACGGAGACCAGCCCGACCTTTCTGTCCTGTGAGCAGCACCGTACTTGGGCTCATACCGACCCTCGTTTCTGGCTAACAGCCTCCCTGACCAGTGGGATGTGCTTTTTGTTTTTGTTTTTTAAAGTGGTTTTGTGTTTGCTTCCAAAATTCCTCACACAGGTGGAGTCTACATTCTTCACACTTTCCTTCTCTTGCTGACCTCCAGGGTCTAGAATTATCTAGAAGACAAGTCTGTTTCTAGTTACCTATAAGCATCCTGATGTCTGCAGCACCTCAGTTCCAAAGTGCTGAGGAGGGGGGTGGAGTGTTTAATCAATCCTCCAAGTAAGGGGAAGTCAAAAGCAGCACTGAAGGAATGTGCTGGAAGCTTCCTGTGTCCCTGTACCCCTGCCAGCTTTCCCTGCCTTGGCTACCCTAATCCTGTCCAGTGAGGTTCCCCTGCTTTCTCTGAGTCTGGTCACCCTGACAGACCCGGGCCCCAGCTGGGGCCCCTGAGAAGGTGTTGCCCACTGGGTGAGAGTTTGGAGAAAATCAGGATTGGTTTTGCTGTGCCAGGGTTCAGCACAAGCTGCGCAGCTCCCCACGCTGTCTCTTTTCCTCACACCTCAGCCTGTGGCCTCTGGCCACGACCCCCCACCAGACGCTTCTGTGCCGGGGCCCTCAGGGTGATCCCGCAGTGATTCTGTCGGGCAGGGCCTGTGTGAGCGTCTTCAGGGCAGACCCAGCGGTGGTTGGTTCTGTCAGGGGGCCTCACCCCTGCAAGGCCTCTGGTCTGATTGACCTCTCTGCCTTCCTCCCTGCACGGCAGGCTCCACCCACCCCTTCTCCTGTCTGTGGGATACACCTTCCTCTCTGCTTTTGGGGAAGCAAATGTCTCTGCTCCCCTTTCTGCCCTGCTGCGCTCCAGATGGGGCTGGGACCTCGTGCTGCCCTGGCCTTCCTCCTTCCTCCCAACCTGCCTCTCCCAGGCACTTCTTTGGGGCCCTGAGTTTCTCTGCTGACACCACCATCCTTGCCAGCATCCTTGAACACAGCCGCTTGACCACCCTCGACAGCTGCTGTGGCCCATGGTCCCCCTGTGCTTGGTTCCTCCCCGACTCGCCCCTGTGCTTGATTCCTCCCCGCCCCGCCCCTCCCTTGGTGTGCTCTAGGGAATGAAGCTTTTCCTCACCTTCACCTGTCAGCTCATTTCAGACCCTCACCCCCAGGTCCCGAGAGACTATCTTCAAGCCTGTTAGCTGTCTGCCTGGAGCCTGTCCACAGGTGCCCCTTTGAGGGTCGCTTAGAGCAGAGGTAGTTACGCTGAGAATGTGAAGCGTCCGGCGCTTCTTCCTGGCCCCCCTCACTCAGTCTCCACCCGGTCAGACCGACTTTCTGAACAGTGACCAGGAACTCGGCCCGGGCTAGCCCAGGGCCAAGTCCTACCCCTGGGCCCTCCTGCCTGTGGGCCTGGCTGCCCCGGGAAGCCTGCACTTGGCAGGAGCACTTCCCTTCACCGAGTGCCAGCCTCCGCTCCCTGTAGACTAGGAGGACCCCAAGGCCAGCTGTCCGGTCTGCCCTGCCTGTGGCTCAGAGCAGAGCCCAGTGACCTCTGTGAGGCTGAGCTGGGCCCCCAGCCTCGGCTCAGCTACTCCCATCCCTCCCCTACTCTGCAGCCCGCAGGCTGGTTTTCTGTGGAGATATGAAGCTACGGGTCTGGTGAAAGGGCAGGTCCATTCCTCAGTGATGAGGCAATGTTGGGGCGATTCCGAGCTGGCATTCCCACGGGCTTGCCGGCACCAGCCCCTTCTCCGCACTCTCCTCCCCCTTTCTACTGCTCTCTCTGGCTGTGTCCCAGATGTGCCGAAGTGGCTGTGAATCTAGACCGAGTCTGTGTCCGAAGAAGGCCCTGCAGTGTCGTCCCAGAAGTGTCATGTTTGGGTGATCAGAGCACAGTCTTTTTCAGAAGGGGACTGGAAAGGTAGCACAGCAGATTAGGCACTCGCCTACATGTGACCACCCTGGTACAGTAGCCCCACAGACTGTCCCTGGGCACTGCCAGGAGTGGTACCCAAGAACCTCAGAAAATGAAAGAATGAAAAGAGTTTAGGTTTACCCTGAGAAAGAAGTCAGGTTTTTGTTGTTGTTGTTGTTGTTTTGTGTTTGTTTGTTTGTTTGTTTGTTTTGCTTTTTGGGTCACACCCAGCAAGGCTTAGGGTTTACTCCTGGCTCTAGCACTCAGAAATTACTCCTGGCAGTGCTGGTGTATGTGTGTGAGGGGAACCATATGGGATGGTGGGGATCAAACCCAGGTCTGCCACGTGCAAGACAAACGCCTACTTGCTGTCCTATCTCTCTGGCCCCGAATTCAGTATATTTTAAAGCGATTTGAGCACAGACTAAAGTGCTTCATATCGTTTGGACAAGCAGAATATTTTCCAAAGGGAGAAATTCGCTCTTGAAGTCCATTAGGAAAAGAACAAGTTACTTGTATTCTGTGGAGCTCCTGGGACACCCCATGTCCAGGCTATGTTACTCCCTGGGGGCAGAGAAGGGACCACGCCACGAGTGCCCAGGTGCAGCCCTGAACTGGGAAGTAACAGTCACGAAGTACACTCGGGGCTGCCCGGTCCACTACTTGTAGCGACCCTCTTGCTCAGAGTCAGCCCCTTCCCGTGGCTCCTCGTCCTGGGCTTCGGCCACATGGGGCCGAGGGCCTTCTTCATGTGGATCTGCTGTGGCAGAGACTGTTCTGGGCACTTGCTTGCATGCTGTGTGTGACTGTTCTGGCCGCTGAGCTCACCCTTTCTCGCAGCAGGGGAGTGGAGGGAGGCCCCTACGCCTTTCTCCGACGTGTGTCCTCCATAGTGGGGCGAGTGTGGAGGAGGCCTGGGTTGGGGGCGTCCTTCTCGGTGGCCCCGTCCCCGACGCCCTGAGTCCCGGAATGCACAGGACTGCGCCAGTTCCCATCAGCACCCGGCTCTCTGGAATGCTCTGCTGCTAAAAATATGTGTCGTTTGGGAAACTATGTCCAAGTTTGACCTCCCTGACACCATCCGTCGCAGCTCGCTGCTCTGGGCCCCTCGGCAGCGGGAACACAGGCCCTTCAGAATAGCCCCTACCTCCGACGCCCACTCAGACCCTGTGGCTTGCGGGTGGAGGCCCAGAAAGAAGTGCAGGCGCCGTGCTGGGGGCGAGGGAGCAGGGATCCCCAGACGGATGAGATGCGCCCAGGGAACGCTTCCCTGCTGCCCTCTGCTCAGGGGCAGGAGGGAGGGGCTTCAGGTCGAGGGGGTGAGGTTGAGGTTTACCCTGGCACTCCCGTGGTTTCAAACTCGGGTTTCTGGAACCCCAGTGTCAGGTGGGTGGCGGTAAAGCTGCAGCTTCTCCCAGTCCGCCCTGGCCTCCTGAGGACAGCTGCCCACCACCTCAGGGTGCAGGAACGGGTCTCCCAGGCTCGGGAGTGTTGGAGCGGGTGGCCCCTCTACTATCTGTCTGGGCACAGAAGGACTGAGGGGCCAGCAGAATGGGCAGTAGTGGTGAGGGGGCCGGCCTGGGTGCTGAGCACCGCGGAGTTCTGGGATGTTCTGAGGGAGGAAAATCCAGGCTCTTTGCTGGATGCTGGTGCTGGGCGGGGCTGTCTCCTTTCCAGCGAGATGGGGGGTGGAGGGGGGGAGAGGAGGCTTTCCCTGTGGGTCTCTGCAGTGACGCCCCCCCCCCCCCGCGCGCGCACCCCCCCCCCCCACTCCTCCCCCCTCCCCCCTGCGCCGCCCAGGCGTGGCTTCCGGGTTTGGGTTGGGGGTAGATGGTGGGAAGGGCTTTCTGCAGAGGCCATTCCCAGATTAGAGTCTGCAGCACACTGACCTCACTCCCATGAGTAATCAGGCTTGTTTACTGCGCCCGCCCGGCAGGAGGCCGAAACTGTGAATGAGCCAGGCTGAGTACGGGCAGGCGGACAGGCGGGCAGGCGGGCGGGCGGCTCTCCGTGGAGTGTGGCCTGGACAGGGGCGGTGGCGGCGGGCGAGCTGGGTGCTGCCCTGGCTGTGCTGCGGGGCTGTGAGGAGCATGTGGCCCTGCAGCTAGCCCAGAGGGCGAGCACAGGGAGGTAGGTCAAGGGCTGGAGCCTCGGCGCTGCGCATGTCTTGGCAGGGTGGGGGCGCAGGCCCTCTCGGGGTCGCCCCTGATGGCTCTTTGTCTCCCCAGTGCCATCCTGGAGGAGGAGAAGGTGCAGCAGGAGGAGCGGCTGAGGATGGAGTCCCGGCGGCAAGTGACGGTGTCCTGGGACTCAGCAGGCCCCGATGAAGCACCACCCAAGGTAGCTGTCCCGGGGGTGGGGGTGACCCCAAGGCAGGGCCAGGTGTGACTCAGCTCCTCCCTTTACTCTTCCCGCCCCTGCCAGGCATCTGGTGGGGCTGTCCCGGGCTCCTGCTGCTTTGCATTGTGCAGGCTGGCAGGCGCTGTTCTCTGAGTTCTGACGCTCTGTGCAAGGGAGAGGAGGGCTGCAGGGCTGCACCCGCCCGCCCGTTTGCTGGGGCCCCTCCTGTTGCTTTGTCCCCAGTGCTCTCCTGAGAGCCGGGCGCGGCTTCTTCCCAGACTTCTTCCGCGCTGGCGGGAGTGGCTGGCAGGAGTCATCGGGCTCTGCTGCTTTTCAGGGCAGGAAGTAGATGATGGGCTGTTTGGGCCCGCTGCCACTGGGCATTGGGGCAGCCACCGAGAGAGGAACCTTTCAGCTCTCACCAACTGCTGTTTAAGTGGCGTCCTCAGTTTTGTTTTGTTTTTCCCAATCTTGATGCCTGAAAGCTCCTCCTGTCCGAGTCAATGTTTTATAGCTTCCCAGCCATAAATGTCGGTGCGTTTAAAGGGGGCACGGGTGGAACGGGTGGAATTCTGTCCCCCTGACAACCGAGGTGGGGCCCAGGGCTGTCTTAGGCGCCCATGGGGACAGCCCACCGCAGTGCAGTGTCCTCGGGTGAGCCCCTGTCGTGCAGTCTGAGGCCCCACTGGCTTCTCGGCTCATCCATGTGGATGCAGGCAGGTGTGCTGCTGCTGCTCTCGCCACAGTCCCTGCCTCTCGGGCCGGGCCACCCACACAGGGACACGCTGCAGTGCCCAGGGCTGCCGCACTCCAGCTTGTGGACTGTCGGTTCGGGCTGTTGGGTGGTAGGGGTCAGCGTCGGCCCCTGCTGCCGAGGTGCTCTGGGCCCTTCTGCGCCTTCCCGTGGCCGGTGCCTGGATGGGGGCAGCGTGGATAGAGACGGTGTGACCACGTTTTCCACCTCTGACACTCTCCCCAGGTTTTCTGGCACCATAGGGGGTGATGCCGCCTGCCTGCATCTATCCAGGGAGGCCGGTTAGTGGCCTGGGGTGTCATTGTGCTGGTGTTTGCTCTCTTCCTCGAAGAAGGAAGAAGTCGGACCACCAGGGGCTTGCCAAGTGAGGAGGCGGGACGCCAGGTCTGGGGGTTTCTGGCCCAACGAACTGGTGGTGTGAGCACCCTGGCACTTAGAGGGCAAACTGCAGCCACCCACAACTGTCTGGCTGAACGCTGAGGAAAGGGCGGGCTCTGCGGGCCTCAGCGTGCCAGGAGAGTGCAGGCAGGGGCATGGGGGGGACATTCCCTGGGGACCCCTTACTAATCCCCCTCTCCACTGTGTTGATGAAGTGGACGTGGGTGCCTGTGCAGGATATGGACTCATTGGCAACTTTCCGCTGCAAGAACCGGAGGTGCCGGACGGTCGAGATTTACACTCTGAAGTAGACACTGCACTCGCATTCTGGGCTGTCAGCTCCATCCCTGGCCATGGAGGCTTCCCCTCCCACCCCCTCCTCCTCCTCCTCCTCCTCCTCCTCCGGCTTCAGATTCAGCCAGCGGGCCTGCCCCTTTGTGAGGGTCCCCCTGCCTTGGGGGTCTCGGGTACACCCTGCTCCAGTGGGCTTCCAGGGTTTTATAAAGAGACCTTGTCTGCTGGTAGCTCCGAACCCTGCGTGTAGTGTCCCTGCGGAGGGAAATATTTCCCATCCCCTGTCAGAGTTAAGGAGTGCATTTAGCTCACCACAGGCACATCCGAGCCACACAGCTCAGAGGTTCTGTTGGTGCCTTTTTGTTTCATTTTGGCTTCTGGTCTCAGTTTGGGACCCTCCCCCCAAGCACTCAGGGCCCCTACCAGCTCAGTGCCGGCCAGGTTGCTCCCAGCTCGGTGACCAGGGCTCTCAGAGCAGTGAGGGTCAGACCCAGGATTCTGGACTTCAGGCCAGCGTGGACAGTCATCCCACCATGCTGTGTGCTGGCCGTGTGGCACTGGCCACTTGGCGGGCCCTGAGCTCGGTTTGCTCGTGAGGGATGATCTTTGGAACCACTGAGCTGAGAGGTCTGTCTGCCCTGCTTCCCTCACCCCATGCCCAGTGCACGTGTTGCTCCCAGGTTTCCAGGTAAGCCCGTGCCCCCAACGCCCAGGAAGGACCTCGAATGGGGCCGGAGAGATGGCACAGGTCGAAGGCACTTGCCCAACCCTGACTCGGTCCGCTGTGCCCAGTGGGCGGAGCATGCCCTGACCTCTTGTGACGTGCTCAGTATGGCAGGGACACAGCTGGGCAGGGTGCGGGGTCTCTGGGTGCCCACCCTCAGCCCCACAAGGCTGCGATGTGATGAGGCATCACCGGGGCAGTGATGAGTCCGTCCAGAGGCGCTTGCAGCTTTGGGGGCCCCATGAGTCCCAGCTGGGCCCATGGGGTCCTCTGAACAGCCCTGGCCCTCAGCAGTGGCCCAGTGGGCGGGCAGAGGCCCTGTGGGGGCCCATAGCTGGAAGGGAGTGTGGAAGACCCCAGATTACCCCATCAGTCCCCTGCTTGAGCACCGGCCCCTCAGACTCGCACCAGGGAGACCAGCCGTGCCCATGAAGAGGAGCTGAGGAGGCAGAGACAGTGTGAACCCTGTCCATGGGGGTCCTGCTGCAGGACCACGGGCCATGAGGCCTCTGTAGGCCATGTCTGTCCTCCACACGGCCACCTTAGGGCTCCAGCGCCTGTCCGATGGCCCTGGGATGTGCCGTGGCATCAGCCCCTTACAGGCAGGATGGGGCAGGTTTGAACTCCGGTGTCTGCCACAAGAGAGGGTCTCTCCACAGCCCTTCCCGGGCCCCAAGGGCGGGAGAGCCTACAGAGCAAGACGAGGAGAAAGACTTGCAAGCAGCGCCCGGCAGCAGGGGCGGGAAGGGGGTGCCCGCCGCGCCGGGGCTGCGGGGCTGTTTGAAGTGAGGGGTTGTTGCTGTTACTGCGCGTCTGTTTGATTTCCAGTGGTGCAAATTGCAGCAGCTACAGTCCAGATAAACAAAAGCTCAGGGTCCTTGGTCATTTCTAGGAAGCGGGGGTGGGGTGCAGGGCCTGAGGCTGCAGGGTTTGGTCCTGCAGCTCCACTCAGCCCTGCCCCGCCCCTTAGCTGCCCTGAGGCTCGGCTTGCTGCACCAGGCACTCGGGTGCTGGGCACGAAACCCCCCCCCCCCGCCCCCCCCCTGCACAACACAGGAAGCCCCTTGTCTAAGCAGCAGTAGGGCCGACCCTAGTCCAGCTTGGCCAGAAAGGAGTACGGCTGCCGTGACAGCACGGGCAGTGACTTGCTGTGGTGAGGGAAGGGTCAAGCTCACTGAGCCGCACTCCCCTTCTCACACCGGACGGGTGGCTCATGCCTCCTGCCTACTACCAGAGATGCCACCCGCCCAAGGCCTGTCAGGGCCACGGCCACCAGGACCTTTCCCCGGGGCCTCTGACTGCCCCAGCAGCACTGTGGGCCAGAGGTGACGGACAGTCAGGCCTTGTGAAATCTGCAGTGATAAGTACCGGGAGAACTTTCTAGATACCCATCCTGGGGGCAGGGCAGCGTGAAGCAGTCCCTGAGATGCAGGGCACAGACAAGGGCCAGGAGTCCTCCAGAAAGCAGCAGCTGGTGAGGACCCGGGGACAGGAAGAGTGTGTATGTGTGTGTGTGTGTGTGTGTGTGTGTGTGTGTCCCCCGTCCCAGCACACAGCTCATGCCTGCACGCCCACGGTGGGTTGGAAGGAAGCACAGCCGCTTTCACCCAGCGCCCTGCTGGCACTACAGGAGCCCCTCAGTTGCTGCACGCAGCTCCCAAACACCTATTCAGAGTGGCACAGTCTTTGAGGCAGTGCCCCTAGCCCAGGGCCCGAGACTCCCACAACGCCCCAGGACTCAGGGCTGTGCCCGAGATACCCACAGCCCCCTGTGGCCCAGAGCCGTGCCCGAGACACTCACAGTGCCCTGCGGCCGTGGCACATCTCTTCTGGCTACTGGACCGTGTATGTGGTGGCCTGGGCCCACGTTTTAATTAGATGTCTTCTCTGGGACTCCTAACGCCTCTCGCCGAGACAGTGCTCTCCTTTCTTCTTCCCCTGGTGTCTGGTCCCTCACTGACATGGATGACGGCCCCTGGCCTTTCCTGTTTTTGTTGAACCTTGGGTGTCAGCTTGAGGGCATTTGCTTCTGAGGGTTTGTGCCTTCAGTGTCTCCCTCACTCAGCTGGCCTAGGAGGGTTCTTCACAACCCCTTCCCCGGGACCCACCGCCCTGTGCCTGTCTGCTCCTTTCAGCACAGCCCCCAGCTGACTCGCTCCTGTTGCTCTGTTCACAGCCCAGCAGACCTGGCTACCCCAGTCCCCGGTCCAGCGAGGGCTTTTACCCCAGCCCGCAGCACATGGTCCAGGCCAATCACTACCAGGTGAGTCACGTGTCCCGGGAGTGCTGGTGGCCGCACCAACACCCCAGTCCCTGCTCCAGGCCCCGCCACTCACGCCCTGCCCACCTCCTGCTCCTCTCACGGCCAGGAAGCCTGGGGCAGACTCCATGCGGGCCTAGCACAAGACTCTGCTACTTCTGGGAGACAGATAAGACCCACAGCCCCGTGAATAGCACTCCTATTAGTACAGCACCTGCCGTGGGGCCACTGAGTCTCCTGCGGGAGGACAGGGGGCAGCCCCAGAGGACGGGGGTGGACGGATGCTGGGGCTGGGCTGGAGGGGGGACAAGGAGCAGCCCCAGAGGCTGGGAGTGGATGGACGCTGTGGCTGGGCTGGCAAGGTGATGGGGCAGCCCCAGAAGCAAGGAGTGGATGGGCACCGGGGCCAGGCTGGCGAGGAGGGGTAGGTGCACAGGCTGGACTCACTGTCAGGGAATCTCAGGCTTGGCCCTGGGCCCTGCGTACACAACATCCCATGCCCACACAAGTTACTCTCACTTCTGTCACCTGGAGAATTCTGCCTGCTGGTGGCCTGTCCACCTGCTGCCCAGAAAGGGTGTGTATGTCTGCAGTTGGCAGCATGATGGAGGCCTCTGGGGCATGGTCAAGGGGCCGGAGCGAGGGTCAAGCACGGAGAAGCCTGCTTTGCACACAGCCAGCCTGCGTTCAGTCACTGGCACAGTGTATGGTCTAATAGGCCCCACAGGGTGTGACCCCTGAGCACAGAGACACGGGTAAGCCCTAACCACTGCCCCCCCTATTTTTTTTTTTAATTTAAAAATAAAATCGGACTGGAGCAATAGCACAGCAGGTAGGGCATTTGCCTTGCACGCAGCCAGCCTTGGTTCGATTCCTAGCATCCCATATTGTCCCCCGAGCACCACCAGGAGTGATTCCTGAGTGCAGAGCCAGGAATAACCCCTCAGCATCGCTGGGTGTGACCCAAAAAGCCAAAAAAAATTTTTTTAAAAATAAAAGCAAACGTTAAGGCATATCCCTGAGTTGTTTGGTTTTTTGTTTTTAATTTTTGTTAGTGAAACACCATGAGGTACAGTTGTAGACTTACACATTTTTGTGCTTGGGTTTCAGTTATACAATGATCCAGTACCCATCCTTCCACCAGTGCCCATTCTCCATCATTTACATTTTTTTAAAAATTTCTGTTAGTGAAACACCATGAGGTACAGTTGTAGATTTACAAATTTTTGTGCTTGGGTTTCAAGTGTACAATGATCAAACACCCATCCCTCCACCAGTGCCCATTTTCCACCACCACGGGTCCCAGTATCCCTCCCACCCCAGCCACACACTCTAGGGGAAAAGGGATCCCTGAGATTTTTTCATTGATAAAGCCTCTTCATTCAAGCAAACAAGAGTCATCTTTGTGCTTCATGTCTGAAAGTTCGTCCTTGGGGCCTCTGGGTCCACATCGATGCCTAGAGTGACACAGAAGCTGCCAGGGGCACTGAGGCATGAACGTGTGCATCTGGCCAAAATGTTAACGGAGAACTAGGACTGAGAGTGGAGAGGGGCTCTTCTGAAGGAGAGCCCCTTCCTTCAGAAGAGCCCCTCCCCAGCCGTGGCTTTGGGTTGTCCCCCGTGCCTTGGCTGGGCCACCATGCAGGCTACCCTTGGGCCTTGGGCCACTCCTCAGCCAGGGTCCCTCGCGTCTACTGCGGCCCAGGACAAGAGCTGCCTGGTGCTCTGACTCACGGTCCTGCCCCGGACTCACCCCTCTCCCTCTGGTTCCTCTCGGCCCTGAGGCACCCTATGAGGACATGGCCTCCAGGTGTCCAGAAGGTGCCATGCCCAGGTCCCATCCTAACTGACCCTGGCCCCCTCATAGGTCTCTGCCTACCCCGGCCCCCACGGGGTCACAGCCACAGCGGGCAGCATCTACCCAGGCCAGGCCTCACTCCTGGACCAGACAGACACCTGGAATCACAGAGCTCAGGAGGTTTCCATGTGGCGGCCCACCGTGGAGGTGAGTGTGTGTCCTTGCCCGGCCTGTCCGGACACGTGACTCAGTGCCAGGCTCCATGCCCGAAAGAGGGGACACATTCCCATCCCCTAAGCTCAGCCTGATGGTGGGGAGTTCTGAGCAGGCCCAGGTGCAAGCCCGTCCTTTCGGCTTCCTCACCCTGACACCCACCAGTGTCACCTTTGCTCATGGCTCGGACCCCACGGGGCACTGTGAGCCAACAGGCCAGAGCCATAGTGGGGAGTTGCCTCAGACATGGCCGTCCCAGGCTCCATCCCTGTACCCCATATCAGTGCCATGAGCGCTCCCGGGTGTGGTCCCCAAACCAGCTCAAGCAGAGCGTCTTGCCATATCCAAGAGCTCTGAGCCGCCATGGCCGTGTCCCCAGGACTCTGCCGCCCTGGACCTGCGTGGGATCGGGCAGGTGCTGCCCGCACACCTCATGGAGGAGCGGCTGATCCGGCAGCAGCAGGAGATGGAGGAGGACCAGCGCTGGCTGGAGAAGGAGGAGCGCTCCCTGGTAATGGGCGCCCAGCCTTGCGACTGTCCACGCCTCACCCCCACCTGGCCCTGATCCTGTCCACGTCTCACCTCTACCCAGCCCTGCCGCCTGTCCATGCCTCACCCTCCCAGCCCTGCTATCTGTCCATGCCCATCCCCACCCAGCCCTGTGCCTGTCCACGCCTCACCCCCACCCAGCCCTGCTGCTGATCCACGCCTCACCCCCACCCGGCCCTGCTACCTGTCCACGCCTCACCCCCACCTGACCCAGGCCCGACAGTACAACCACGAAGCCTTGCCCAGAAGCCCCCAGTCCTGGTGCTACCCCCATTCTTCCCAGAGGAAAGCCTCGGCCTGGCGTGGCCATGTGGTCTGACAGGGGCTGGGCGTGTGGCCACAAAATCTTGGCAGTTTTCTAAAATGGGAATTTCTGGCCCTTCTTGTTTTTTTTTTTTTGTGGTGCTGGGGATGCAGCCCAGGCCTCACATGTGTGAGGCAAGTACTGTGCGCCAAATACCCACCCCAGCCTCACCCCATCCCGTCAGGATACCAAGCTGTGCAGGACGGCCCAGTGTCCAGCAGGGGTCTCTGCTCCTCACACAGCTGATGCCCAGTTGTGTCTGTCCCAGCAGAAACCGGATGTGAGGCTCTCGAGAGGCAGCATGGACAGGGAGGACGGCGGTCTGCAGGGCTCGGTAAGCCGCCAGCCCCGCCCGCAGCCCCCAGGGATGTGGCCTTGAGGACACACAGGCTGTCCGTCTGGCACATCACACCGTGCACCCAGCCCCCGTTTCGGGTTCGGGGCAGACACCTAGTTCTCCGCCCAAGACGCCTAGTGCTCTGCCTGGAGTGAAGCTGTGCCACAGGGCTCTCGTGCAACACCCACTGCTCTGAGTGCCGGTTCCCAGTGTGGACACAGCTCCTGTGCACTGGGGTACGGGCCTGCGTGCCCCATGCAGGACTCCCACTTGGGCCAAGGATCCCAGGCCAGCCCCTACCCCCAACCCTTGCTTCTTCCCGTGGAAGCTGGTGTCAGTCGCGTGTGGGGGAGGGACCCACCATTTTGCGAGTGACTGCTGGGACAGCAGCTCCTCATGGGACAGAAGTGGCTGGATCAGAGGCACCTTCACGCTCTGCCAGCCGGCCGGCCCCCAGCCTGGGTGGCACACCCAGGGGTGCTGAGTACTGATGGACAGGGTGCCCGGTAAAGAGAGGTGCTGTGCTAAGTGCTCCCAGTGGGACACTGTTCGGACGTCACTGCCTTGCCACGTCTTGAGCCCCTGGACTCACTCGGGAGCTTGGACCCCTCGGCAAGAGGATGGGGGGAGGAGGATCATTGTTTTTGTTAAGTTTATTGGAGTGACGACTTCCCTCTCCCACAGACCGGGAACCAGCACATCTACCAGCCTGTCGGGAAGCCAGGTGAGTGCGGGCATGGGCCATGTGTGTAGGCACTGGGTGAGGGTGGGCACAGGGCGTGCGTGTGGAGCTGGGTGAAGGTGGGCATGAGCATACACGGACATGCTGCAGGATTTGGGGGCATGAGTGTTTTCAGTGTAGTTTCTTACACTGGCGCCCACTTGACCCAACACAGAGTGCACCAAGTGTCCAGTGCATTAAGCCCAGGGTGAGGGCAGGAGAAGGCAGGCTAGCAGGGCTTGGGTGGGGGTGGGGGGGCAGGCCAGTCATGGGGAGGGGGTAGGAGAGGACAGGACAGGTGGGGGGGAGCAGGGGACGCAGATGTCACGGCTTGGGTGCAGGAGCGGCCTGTGCCCTAACGTGCTCCTGACCGCCTCGTTCTTCCCAGATCCTGCAGCTCCACCAAAGAAACCGCCGCGCCCTGGTGCCCCTGGCCACCTGGGCAGCCTCGCCAGCCTCAGCAGCCCTGGGGACAGCTACAACGAAGGCATCAAGGTGGGCGTTCGTTCCGAGGCCCTGTCCACTGCAGGAAGGCCTCTGGGCTCCACGGGGCAGCCTGGGCGCAGACTGGGAGTGCCGGGGCCTCTCAGGCAGGCCGGGATTGCTGGCAGGAGGGGAACAGCTCCAGGCCCAGGGAGTGAGGCGGGCACTCTGGGTCTGCCCCGCCCCGCTGCGGACAGGAGGGCGCAGCCTTTCTTGAAGTGGCTCCTCAGCGCGAACGTTGACCGACTGGGGGATCGGGTCCCTGCACTGTGCAGCTCCAGGGTGGCTGCTCTCTGGGAAAGTCCAGCCTCACACCAGTGCCCTGGGATGGGGCGCAAAGAGATGAGCTGTCAGCGTCAGGGGTCCGCACCCGTGTGTGGGGTGGTGGTGTGCCCACGAGTCTCCGTCCAGTGGGGCTCCTGGAAGGGCAGGTGCATGGTGGGGGCGCTGCCCTCTGCTGCCCAGGGGTGCCCCAAGAACACTGCCTCCGGCCAGTGCTCAGACTCCCTTAGCCTCATCTGTGGGGACTTCGGGAGAACCTGTCCTGGCTGTGAGGGGTCGGGGTGGGGGCAGGCCTGCTCGCCCTCATTTCTGGGGTACACCTGTGAGGGCCCTGGGGGTCCTCCCGGTCCCGGTCCCTGAACTGCTGCTCAGCAGCCGACCCTGCCCTCCTCAGCATGGCAGACAGCCCGCGGCTGCCCTTGGGGGTTCCCGGTCCTCAGCCCTGCACCTCTGGGCACCCTGAGCTTTGCATGTGTCACTCGCTCCTGAGCACGGCCGCGGTGCATGTGACCCTGGATCAGCTCGGCTGGGCCTCACAGAGCGGCATGCGGGTGTGGGGTGCCAGGCACTGCCTGTGTTGTATGTGCGGGGGCCAATTGTCTGTTGCCTGTATTAACACTGTTTTTCTTTCCTCCCTCTGACAAATCTCTCCCCCTCACTCTGCACTCGACACTAGCCGTGGCGGGTAAGCACCTCGTGTGTGTGTGTCCCCCACCCTGCCTGCCCCTGCTGTGCTGTCGCCGAGCCCTTCCTGTGTCTGGCGGGAGCACCTAAGCCCAGGCAGCTTGGTGTCACCTTGGAGGGTTTGACCTGAGTGTGGCCGTGGGCGCGGAGAGCAGCGGGTCTCCTGTGTCCCACTTGGGCAGGTCGGTTTGGACGTTCTGCTGCACCACCCCGTCCCTGGCTACTGGCTGTGCCCATGGCCCAGGCTGACCACAGGGGGTGCTTAGCACATGCTCCTCCTTTTCTCTTCACCCCTCACTTGCGGGCCTCTGGCCCTGGTGAGGGCGGGGAGCAGGCCCGTTGCTCCTGTAGTTGGCCCGGGCAGGTGCTGGCCACTCAGAGCTGGCCGTGTGCACAAGGCACCCCCTCCAGCCATGGTCTTGGCCTCCTGTCAGTGCCATGAGATTCCTGCAAAGTGAAAGGTCTCTGCCTTTGTGTAGCCCCAGGCCCCACTGGTGATGCTCAGGGTTTACTCCTGCCTCTGTGCTCAGCGGTCACTCCTAGTGGTGTCTGCAGACCAGATGAGGTGCCAGGGATCAAACCAGGGTCGGCCACGTGCATGCCTCCCTGCTGTCCTGTCACTCTGGCCCCCCTTAGCCAGCGTCCCCCGGAGACCTCCGTAGTGTGTGTCCTCTCTCTCCCTGTGACTGATTGTGGGGCACACTGATGGGTTTGGGAACGAATCAGGGGCTGCCCATTGTGATCCCACCTCGCGTCCCCTTTGAGTCCAGGGTTAGCAAAATTGCTCGTGGATTTGCTCCACCTTGCCACCAGGCCCTCGGGCAAGGAGGGGACAGTCCATGCTCATGGGCTCCAGGTCTCCTATCACCCGGTCAGGCTTAGCGCAGGGCCTGTGCCCTGCTGCGGGCCAGAAGGTCACAGCCTCTTTGTTGGCAGTTGCAGCCCCAGGAGATCAGCCCACCTCCCACTGCCAACCTGGACCGGTCCAGCGACAAGGTGTATGAGAACGTGACCGGGCTGGTGAAAGCGGTCATCGAGATGTCCAGCAGGATCCAGCCCGCGCCGCCTGAGGAGTATGTGCCCATGGTGAAGGTGAGTCCTCCGTGGGCACGCTCGGAGCCTGTGCAGAGGATGAGGGGGAGACAAGTCAGGGTGGGGCCAGTAGTGCGCTCTGCCACGCCAAGTGGGTGCGTGGCCCTGGCTCTGGACACTGTGCTGCCAGGCCATCCCTAAACAGCGTTCCGGGAATGCACTGCAACGCTTGGTTTGGGACCGTCCTTGTGTCCACTGGCACTCGCTGGCTCTGCTGGCCATGTCTCTGCCCCACAGGTGCCTCTGGGAGGGAGCCAGGGCAGAGCAGCTTTCTTTGGCGCCTCTTCGATAAATGTCTGTCCTAGCACACTCCTTTTCTGGATTTACTTTTTTGTACTGCCAAGAATGGCCACGGTGTCTCGTGCGAGGAGGGGGACTCCCTGCCATGTGCTGCAGGGCTTCATGCGAAGGGGGTGCTGTCTGCCAAGCGCCAGGGGCCTCTTGCAAGGAGGGGTGCTGTCTACAGTGTGCTGGGTCTCGTGTGAGGAGGGGTGCTGTCTACCAAGTGTCAGGGGCCTTGTGTGAGGTGGGTTGCTGTCCACCGAGTGCTGGACCTCATGTGAGGAGAATGCTTCCTGCTGAGTGCGCCCACAACCCGTTCTCAGAACCGGGCATTTGGATTTTTCTCATCGAAAGTCAGGCTGCGTATCCTTCCACATGGCTGTTGGCAGTCTTGGGAGCACTTCCCCAAGACCTTGAGCCTGGCAGCTCTGGTAGGTTCTGGGCAGTAGGCCTGCCCTGGCAGCTTTGGGGCTGCCGTCCTTGGCTACACTGATGCTGGCATCTGTCCCTGCAGGAGGTGGGCCTGGCCCTGCGGACGCTGTTGGCAACAGTGGATGAGACCATCCCTGCACTGCCCGCCAGCACTCACCGAGAGGTAGGACAATGGAAGGTGCCCGGCAGGGCATGGGACATTTGGGCACGCTGCTTCTACCCTCCTTCCTTTTTCCTTTTCTTGGTTTTTGGGGCCACCTCTGGCCGTGTTTGGGCCACCTTTAGTTGAACAGGGCCCTCAGTGTGCAAAGCGTAACCCTCCCACCTGGTTCTCACTCGTCAGGGGAGGTGCCTTCTCAGAGCCTGCCCCTTTGCCCACTGCGTGGCACCCAAGTTCCCACAACCTCTCAGCTGCCTCGCCCCTGGCCTAGGCTGCGTCCCCTGCCTGGGAGACTCCACATGGACGCTGCAGGCTGAGGCCCGTCAGCTGTGGGTCCATGGACCCACTCCCGGGAGTGTGTGCTCTCTGCCTCTCCTCTCACCAGGATTTTCCCTCGTGTGCATGTGTGTGTGCCGGGGGTGGGAATGCTGTGTGCCCGTTTGTGCATGTCCAACTCTGCCCTCCCAGGTGAGCAGCTCGCAGGGCCCTTGGCAGCCCAGTCCATTTGTCGGGAGAGACCCCTATGAGCTACGCTCGCTGCCGGCTCTGACGTTTGTCCCGGTGTGAGAGTGTCTCATGACCATCCCGTGTCCTGCACTGCAGAGGTTGCCTGGCCCACAGTGGGTGGCTGGCAGGTTTCCCATGTGACCAGTCCCTCAGGCCTGCAGGCAGGGGGCCTGGTGGGGAAAGCAAGAGCACGTCGGGGCTGGGGTGAGAGGAGGCGCAGCACGGGCCACTGCGCGGGGGGCGGGGGGGCCGCCTCTTGCTCCCCGAGGAGGCGTTGCTTTCACGTGCTCTGGGTTTTCAGAGAAAACCCTAGGAAGGCGGGTGACGCAAAGAGTTGGTGGGCAGCATGTCCTGACTCCTCATCCCTGCAGATTGAGATGGCCCAGAAACTGCTGAACTCGGACCTGGGCGAGCTCATCAACAAGATGAAACTGGCCCAGCAGTATGTCCTGACCAGCCTCCAGCAGGAGTACAAGAAGCAGATGCTGACCGCGGCCCATGCCTTGGCCGTGGACGCCAAGAACTTGCTCGATGTCATTGACCAGGCGAGACTGAAGATGCTTGGACAGTCGCGGCCACGCTGAGCTGCCCCGCGCCTGCAAGCGCCCGCCTAGCCCGTCCTACCAGCACAACCTCGGCCACCGTGGCGGGCCAACGTCTCCTCGCTCACCACTTGGACCCCTGTTGATTGGCCCTGGGGTCTTGGTGTTGGAGACGGCCCGAGCGATATTTCTGAGACAGAGACCATGGGGGAAGCGTCTGGAAGGGCTCGGTGCACGTGACCCTCCTGGGGACACGCGTCACGGCAGTGCCGGCGCCGCCTTCACCCTGCACAGCTCGCCAGGTGCCGGGGGGGAGGTGAAGTGGAGTGTCCGGGACACATGAGGCTCAGCGCTGTCCAGACTGGGGGGTGCTGCTGGGACCCCCGTGGCAGAGGGGAACCGAGAAGCCTAGAACCGGCCGTGGGCAGCGCACTCCACGAACTTGGTCTTTCTCACCAGAACCTCGTGCCAGTTTTTTGTAGCGATGTTGTTTCTCTTGGAAGCAGACATGCTTTGTACCAGAGCACCTCCACACTGCACTGAGAACTTCCGGAACCTCCCGTCCCCTTTTTTTACATAATTTATAAAACCAGATGAAAGCCATGTCGACTCCGAGCACGGGGCGGGCGTGGCTCACGTGGCCTGTCCCACGAGTGCCGAGAGTCGAGTTTCCTTTTGATGTCCCGTTACACCATTCATTCTGTTAAATAATTTTGAAGAATATGCCCTCCCTTTAGTTTGTTGGGGGATATAAATTATTCTCAGGAAGAATATAATGAACTGTACAGTTACTTTGACCTATTAAAAAGGTGTTACGGTAAAGGTCTCGGTGTGCTGGCCTCGCAGCTCTGTCCCCCAGCTCAGATCCTGTCCCTGAAGTGTCCCCTCTCAGGGCAGACGGTGGGTGCACAGCCCAGGGATGCAGACTGGGAGCGGCCGGAGCCCAGGCCCAGCCCGTCTCTGGCTCCCTGCAGGGCTGCTGGGAAACCGGGGTGCTCTTCCCCCCAGCCTGGAGGGTGGGGGCCACTGGCTGCCTGGGACCTCTCCCTGGGAGAGGGCCCCCGCCCTGCGTTGGTACCGTTCCTTGGCTGCCCTGACTCTGCTGCTTCTCTACAGTCAGCTTCACTGCCTTCTAGAATCTTCCCATCTGCACTCCCAAAATAACATTTGGCCTTTCCCCATGACCTTTTGCTGCTGCACTGACTGTGAAACATGACTGCCCTGTGCAGCTCACCTGGGCCGGTGGGGGACAGGTGTACTGTCGCTGGGCGGCTGACCAGAGGGCCCTGCATGGCTCCGTCTCGGGCAGCATCTGAGGTAAGCGCATGTCTGTCGGGGGACTCGGACGTTTCCTGTGGCCGCAGACGTTTCTTGTGGCCACAGCCGTTTCCCGGCCTGTGGGTGTTGGTGCTTCCTCATGCTGCAGGTGGGGGGTGGGCTGCTTTGTCCCCTCCAGGTGACTGGTGTCCGCCTACTGTTTCCTCCTGGACTGGGAAGACCGCTTGGCTTAACTGCCCCTCCAGGTGTTTCTAGGCTAGTAAAGGACTGGTTGCAATGGGACCATCACTGAGTTTGATCTCACAGGCCAGAGTGCAGCAATCCCCCGCGGCACTGCCACGTGGTCCCCGACGCAGGGACCTGAGTGCTATATGTCTGTTTAGGTGGTCCATGGGCACACTATGAACAGGGGGTGTGGGGTCTCATCTGGTGTGGGGTCTCATCTACTGTGGGTTCCACTGCCGTGTTCTGTGCCGAAGAGGGTCCCGCATGCCTCCTTGTTGGCTTGGGGCCACACCCAGTGATGTTCAGGGTTATTCCTGCATCTGCTTAGCAATTAGGGGACCATATAGGATGCCGGAGATGGAATTGGGTCTGCCATGTACACTCTGGCCCTCTTGGCTGCTGTGCTGTCCCATCACCCAGAGACCCCGAGTCCTGTCCAGGGCTGGTGTGTCCTGCTGATTATACTCTGAGCTGCTATAACGGAGCAAAGGGCCCTGTCGGCTGGGAAAGCCTGTCCCTGGCCTATTCCATAGTGGCACTGAGAATCTGGAGGTTTGTGATTTTCTCATGCTGTTTCTATCCAGTTCTGATCTCGGGGTTATGTCGGCCCCTACAGGCGGGTCTTCATTTCCTGTGAGAGCCTGTAGGTTTGTAGACAGGTAGTAGATCTTTAGAGGCTTGTAGATGGTGTAGATGGCTAGAGTGATAGTACAGGGATTATTCATAAGGTGCCAGCCTTGCACGTGGCCCGCTCTGGTTCAATCCCCGGCCCCCTGAGGGCCCCCGCGCCCCTCTAGGAGTGATCCCTGAGCACCGCCAGGTGTGGCCCCCAAACCCAAAATGAAGGAATAAAATACTTCCGAGAATCTACAAGGAAATCTGCATCTGGACTTTTCAGTGTATACAGATTTCTTATAAATAGAATTTTTAAACCAAGTTTAAAAGTATCTATTGTGGGGGTCTCCCTGATGCTGGGGAGCAGTGTTCAGCCACCGGTGTTGGGCCTTATGCTTAGCTGCTGGGGGCCACCAGGCTTGCTGGCCTGGCTGAAGGGACCCGGTACCAGGGCCCAGCTCGGCCTGTGCATGCCGGGCAGGTGCTCCAAGTCGGGCTTATCCCCCGTGGCTAGTGAGTTTGAATGTCATGCTTTGGAGGTGCGGCGGCACCACACAGCAGTTCTCACATCACTCCAGGTGGTGCTCAGGGGTGAGAGCAGGGCCAGCTGCATGCAAGGCAAGTGCCTGACTCTTGCAGTAAGTCAGCCCTACCTCTAACCCCTGGCGGCCCTGACCCTTGCACCCCTACCTCTAACCCCAGAGTCTCCTGCCCCCCAGCCCTTCACTCCTCTCTCTGGGTGTTCCGTGTTGATGGTCTGGGGGAGCAGAGAAATGGGCCCCTCACCTGTCGCACACATGTGGTGATGGCACATTGGCGGATTGAACTGCTCAGCTCTGGCCGTGCCTGCTCCTTTGGTCGTTCAGCTGGCAGCACAGGGACCCCCAGGTGGTGGTGGGCTCCTGGGACCCAGGTCTGTGTGACCCTGCCATCTGGTGGCCAGACCCAGGACAGCTGTGGGAACCCTGAACTCGTGCTCTGTTGGGATGGTCGTCAGAGAGGCTGGAAGGAGGCGGCAGGACTTCAGGGCCCAGTGAAGCCTATGAGAAGTATCCAGATTGATGGGGGTTGCAGGGAGGACAGCGGGTAGGGCGCATGCTGTGCTGTGGCCAGCCTGGCTTAGACCTTCGGCACCCGATGTGGTCCCCGAGCATCACTGGGTGTGCTGAAAAATCAACACAAAGTTTCCCAATTCAGAAATCCCAAGACAAAAAGATTCCAGGCAACACCATTTGAAAACCTCCGTGAAAGGTACCGAACATGACTGTAAAACATGGCCGCAAGTCTGCGGGGTTCGCCACACCCACTGCCCGACTCGGTGAACAAACAGCACCATGCCTGCCTGAGCGACGGCTGCGACTCCCAGGAGGGACATCAGCCCTGGGGTGCTTCCTAGCCAGGTCCACACACAGCCGGCACCTGACCTGGAGCCACTCGCTTCAGCTGACACTCGGGGGTCATTCGCTGTTGCTGACAGTGGTCGCTACTGCTGACACTCGGGGTCACTCACTGCTGATGACACTCTGGTCATTAGAGCTGACACGCAGAGTCACTCATTACTGCTGACACTGGTAACTCCTGCTGACACCCCAGGATCATAGCTGATACCCCGATCACTTACTACAACCAACACCTGGGGCCACACAGCTGACAAGCAGGGTCATTTACTATAACTCACAGCTGACCTGGGATCATAGAGCTGACACCCCGGGCTCACACAGCTGACACTTGGGATCACAAAGGCTCCCCCAAAACCTTTTTAGATCTGGGGAAGCTCTGCAGGAGGGGGGCCATTGATTACAACAGAATCTGTAGGTACCACCTGAGTATGGGGTCCTTAATCAACACGTGTGTGTGTGTGTGTGGGTGGGTGAGAGAGAGAGAGAGACAGACAGAGTCACACAGCAGAGGGAGAGACACAGATACTGAGACAGTCACACAGTGACAGACACAGTCACAGATATAGTCACCATCGTTGATAGATGCAGTCACAGACACAGACAGAGGAGGGAAGTTCTACCCTGGCCTCCACATTCATGGCATATGTGCCACCCCGGAACCACGTCCCCTGCCCGGCTCCATGGACACCCCCTTGGCCCCCATCTCGCCAGGAGATTTCCAGTCCCGGCTCTTTTCACTTGAAGAGGGTGAGCACTGGTGAGTACCAAGGCTCTGAGGTGGAAAGGACCTAGAGCTGGGCCGTACCCACCCCCATCCTGCTCTGGCCTCTGCAGGAAGCGGGAACAGGTGCTGAGCCAAGGGACCTGGCCGGTACTCCATCCCGGAAGCCAGGAAGAAGGGGGCCCAATCTACACTCCAGACCCCGGAGAAAAGGGGGCCCAGTCTATACCCCAGAAGCTCAGGAAGAAGAGAGCTGGCTTCTCGAAGTTGCTGTTCCTGCAGAAAGGCTTCAGTTGTCCCCTGCTCTGTGGATGGTCCTCCGAGGGCACTGAGAGTGGCCCCCACACACTGGCCCCACAGAGTTAGCTGCACACACACCATCAGGTGTGGGCAGGGGGGGAAGAAAAGGCAAGTGAGAGAGAAGATGGGGAAGACAGTGAGGAAGGGAAGAGAAAGGGAAATGGAGAGAGGGGAAGAGGATGGGAAGAGGGAGAGGAAGAGAGATTTCTAACAAGACAACATTGTTTCAGTCTGGGTTTGATTTACAAGTGCTCAGAGGCTACTCCCAGCTCAGTGCTCGGGGACCATGTGGTGGCAGGAATGGAACTCCGCGCTCCTGCATGCAGGATGTGTGCTCCCCTGGGCCACGCCCCATCCAAACAAAGTATTTCTAATGAAATAATCAGGATTTCAAATTGGTCACACACTTGTATGGAGCGGAGGGTAGCTAAGATAGAGAAGAGACAGTATGACACTAAGAACTGGGAATGAGTATGCTGGACAGGATCTGAGGGTTCAAAGTAGGTAAGGGATATTCCTGATAACCTTTCAGTATCAATATTGCAAACTACAAGGTCCAAAGAGAGAGAGAGAGAGAGAGAGAGAGAGAGAGAGAGAGAGAGAGAGAGAGAGAAAACGCCTGCCATAGAGGCAGATGGGGTGGGAGGGTGATGGGAGGCAACCTGGGGACACTGGTGCTGGGAAATGTGCACTGGTGGAGGGATGGGTGTTGGAACACTATAGGAAGGCTAATCATGAACAGCTTTGTAAGGGTCTATCAGTGATTCAATAAAAAAGTAAAAAAAATAATAATAATTCGGTCACACACTTGTGTTTCAATGCACCATGAACCCACCAGACACGCACACATTGGTCCTCACCCTGCGAGGTTGACGGAGGAGCACACCGACTCGGGGCTCCGGTCTGAGCAGGCATGGGGCTTTGTGGCTCCTCGTAGATACCCGTTGATACGGTATTTATCTGACATCTGCTTACAATTTTCCAAGTGATATGACAGTTTTATTTTTATGTGTCAATATTTACAACATGCCAGAAATTGTATTTCTTGTAACTATTGAAACAAAAATATTTGAGGTGTCAACTTAATGTGTGTGTGTGTGGGGGGGAGTCACATTGCCACTTGCTGGAGGGCGATGGGAGCCACCGCTATCAGACACCCGCCCCGTCCCCATCAGACCCCCATCCCCAAAAGACGCCCGTCCCCGCGTGGACTGTTCCTGGGCAGCTTCAGGGGTTCCAGCCTGCTCGTCTGCTTCTGGCTTCCTCAGTCCCCAGGCACGAATGAGCAAGTAAAGAGCCT